CCGTCATCGCGGGCGCCGAACTTTTCTGTGCGCGCAAACCAATCTGAAGTTGCTCTGATAGGTGTATTTGAACATGGGCCACCCGAATATGCAACAATATTCGGGTCGTTGGATGCTTTTCCCTACGCCTATAGGGATCCATGCGCTTCCTTAGCATTTGTCGGCAGGCACGGCCGTCATCGCGGGCGCCGAACTTTTCTGTGCGCGCGATCCAAGCTGAAGTTGCTCTGGTAGGTGTATTTGAACATGGGCCACCTCAATATGCAACAACAATCGGGTCCTTCGATGCTTTTCTCTACGCCTATAGGGATCCATGCGCTTCCTTAGCATTTGTTGGCAGGCACGGCCGTCATCGCGGGCGCCGAACTTTTCTGTGCGCGCGAATCAAGCTGAAGTTGCTCTGATAGTGTCAGAATGTTATTATTGTCTTGCCTGCAGTGGGGTACTCCATAGTGAGTACAGCCCAATTAGGGTTTGCTATATGTATCCAACTGCTTGCTAGTGAAACCCCTCCTTTCTTCATTCTTGTTTCTGCTGCTAGTTCTGACATGGTTTCAGAGCAGGTTGACCCCCTTGGGTCGATCCTGTGGGTGGGCCCCACCCGATGCTTCCGCTGCTCTACTGCTGTCGCGCGCCCCTGGCGCGTGACCCCTTCTTCTTGCCGCGCGCCCGGAGCGCGCGGCGTTTTTCATCCCGCCGTGCGCTCGGGGCGCGCGGCGGTTTTCTGCCCGCCGAGTGCCCCGTGGTGCGCGGCGGTTTTCTGCATGGCGCGCCCCCCGTCGGCCCTCGCGTCGCCTCAGGGGATCCGCGCGCGCCCCCCGTCGGCTCTCGCGCTGCCCCGCTGGACCCGCGCGCGGCACCCCATCGACCCTCGCGTCGCCTCCGGGGACCCGCGCGCGCCCCCCGTCGGCTCTCGCGCTGCCCCGCTGGCCCCGCGCGCGGCACTCCGTCGACCCTCGCGTCGCCTCCGGGGACCCGCACGCGACCCCCGTCGACCCTCGCGTCGCCCCCGGGGACCCGCGAGCCGCCCCCGGAGCCGTGCGCGACCCCCCGGCTGCCCCGTCGCGGCGCCCTGGGGGGCCGCGCGCGGCCCCTCGCTGCCCCATGGTGGCGCCCTGGGGGCCGCGCGCCTTCCCCCTCGCCGTCCCCCGCGCTCCTTCCCCGTACCACCCGTTTTAGGGTTTGGGGGTGGGGAGTGTGGGGGTGGCGGTTGTGGGGGTGCCGGTTGTGTGCGCCGTCCCCTACTCCTCCTCCTCCTCCGTCTCCCGCTGCTGCAGCTGCCGCTCAGGGGGGTGGATGTGTGGTGTCCGGAGGAGAGGCGTTAGGGGGGTGCCGTGGGAGTGGAGCTAGGGTTTCAGCAGGGGGTGTGTGAAAGGGGCGTGGGACTGTTGGGGGAGGTTGTGTGGAGGTAGATGTCGTGTCGCCTGCAGCGCCTGTAGTCCGTCGCCCTTGCTTCAGTAGCCAGTGAGCCTGTTGCACCAGTCGCCAGTGGGTCCGTTGCTCCTGCCGCTCGTCTTAGCCACGGAGCCAGTCACTCCAGTAGTCCGTTGCCCTTGCTTCGGTAGCCACTGAGTCAGCCGCTCCTGTGCCCGTGCCTCTGCAGCTTCAGTCGTTGCCTCCCATCTTCTCTCCTTCCACAGTTCCTCCTCCTCCTCACTTGCCCGCTGTGATTACCTCTAGCTTTGCTTATTATGGTGAACTCCTGCTATGCCTGCTCATTGTGCTGATTACACCCCACTTTGGCTGTGGGGGTGTGTCAGAATGTTATTATTGTCTAGCCTGCAGTGGGGTACTCCATAGTGAGTACAGCCCAATTAGGGTTTGCTATATGTATCCAACTGCTTGCTAGTGAAACCCCTCCTTTCTTCATTCTTGTTTCTGCTGCTAGTTCTGACAGATAGGTGTATTTGAACATGGGCCACCCGAATATGCAACAATATTCGGGTCGTTGGATGCTTTTCCCTACGCCTATATGGATTCATGCGCTTCCTTAGCATTTGTCGGCAGGCACGGCCGTCATCGCGGGCGCCGAACTTTTCTGTGCACGCGAACCAAGCTGAAGTTGCTCTGGTAGGTGTATCTGAACATGGGCCACCCGAATTTTCAACAATATAAGGGTCGTTGGATGCTTTTCCCTACGCCTATATGGATTCATGCGCTTCCTTAGTATTTGTGGGCAGGCACGGCCGTCATCGCGAGCGCCGAACTTTTTTGTGCGCGCGAACCAAGCTGAAGTTGCTCTAGAAGGTGTATTTGAACATGAGCCACCCGAATATGCAACAATATTTGGGTCGTTGGATGCTTTTCCCTACGCCTATAGGGATCCATGCGCTTCCTTAGCATTTGTCGGCAGGCACGGCCGTCATCGCGGGCGCCGAACTTTTTTGTGCCCGCGAATCAAGCTGAAGTTGCTCTGGAAGGTGTATTTGAACATGAGCCACCCGAATATGCAACAATATTTGGGTCGTTGGATGCTTTTCCCTACGCCTATAGGGATCCATGCGCTTCCTTAGCATTTGTCGGCCGGCACGGCCGTCATTGGGGCGCCGAACTTTTCTGTGCGCGCGAATCAAGCTGAAGTTGCTCTGGTAGGTGTACTTGAACATGGGCCACCCGAATATGCAACAATATTCGGGTCGTTGGATGCTTTTCCCTACGCCTATAGGGATCCATGCGCTTCCTTAGCATTTGTCGGCCGGCACGGCCGTCATCGCGGGCGCCGAACTTTTCTGTGCGCGCGAACCAAGCTGAAGTTGCTCTGGTAGGTGTATTTGAATATGGGCCACCCGAATATGCAACAATATTCGGGTCGTTGGATGCGTTTCCCTACGCCTATAGGGATCCATGCACTTCCTTAGCATTTGTCGCCCGGCACGGCCGTCATCGCGGGCGCCGAACTTTTCTGTGCGCGCGAACCAATATGAAGTTGCTCTGATAGGTGTATTTGAACATGGGCCACCCGAATATGCAACAATATTCGGGTCGTTGGATGCTTTTCCCTACGCCTATAGGGATCCATGCGCTTCCTTAGCATTTGTCGGCAGGCACGGCCGTCATCACGGGCGCCGAACTTTTCTGTGCGTGCGAACCAAGCTGAAGTTGCTCTGGTAGGTATATTTGAACATGGGCCACCTGAATATGCAACAACAATTGGGTCGTTCAATGCTTTTCCCTACGCCTATAGGGATCCATGCGCTTCCTTAGCATTGTGGGCAGACACGGCCGTCATCGCGGCCACCGAACTTTTCTGTGTGCGCGAACCAAGCTTAAGTTGCTCTGGTAGGTGTATTTGAACATGGGCCACCCGAATATGCAACAATATTTGGGTCGTTGGATGCTTTTCCCTACGCCTATAGGGATCCATGCGCTTCCTTAGCAATTGTCAGCAGGCTCCTCTCCCTTCTCCCTACTCTCATCAACCTTCTCCCTACTCTCTGCACCCTTCTCCCTTCTCCCTACTCTCATCACCTTTCTCCCTACTCTCATCTCCCTACTCTCATCTCCCTTCTTCCTTCTCTCATCACCCTTCTCCCTACTCTCATCACCCATGCGCTTCCTTTCCTTCGCATTTGTGGGCAGGCACGGCCGTCATCGCGGGCGCGGAACTTTTCTTTGCGCGCGAACCAAACTGAAGTTGCTCTGGTAGGTGTATTTGAACATGAGCCACCCAAATATGCAACAATATTCGGGTCGTTGGATGCTTTCCCTACGCCTATAGGGATCCATGCGCTTCCTTAGCATTTGTCGGCCGGCACGGCCGCCATCGCGGGCGCCGAACTTTTCTGTGCGCGCGAACCAATCTGAAGTTGCTCTGATAGGTGTATTTGAACATGGGCCACCCGAATATTCAACAAAATTCGGGTCGTTGGATGCTTTTCCCTACGCCTAAAAGGGGTCCATGCGCTTCCTTAGCATTTGTCGGCAGGCACGGCCGTCATCGCGGGCGCCGAACTTTTCTGTGCGTGCGAACCAAGCTGAAGTTGCTCTGGTAAGGAGAAGGGTGATAAGAGTAGGGAGAAGGGAGATGAGAGTAGGGAGAAAGGTGATGAGAAAAGGGTTAGGGTGATGAGAGTGGGGAGAAGGAAGATGAGCCTGCCGACAAATGCTAAGGAAGCCCATCGATCCCTTTTAGGCCTAGGGAAAAGCATCCAACGACCCAAATATTGTTGCATATTCGGGTGGCCCATGTTCAAATACACCTACCAGAGCAACTTCAGCTTGGTTCGCGCACACAGAAAAGTTCGGCGCTCGCAATGACGGCCATGCCTGCCGACAAATGCTAAGGAAGCGCATGGATCCCCATAGGCGCAGGGAAAAGCATCCAACGACCCCAATAGTGTTGCATATTCGGGTGGCCCATGTTCAAATACACCTACCAGAGCAACTTCAGCTTGGTTCGTTTATTGCATATTCTGGTCTCCCATGTTCAAATACACCTACCGGAGCAATTTCAGCTTGGTTCGTGCGCACAGAAAAGTTCGGCGCCAGCGATGATGGTTGTTTCTGCCGACAAATGTTAAGGAGGCGCAAGGATGTATAGGCGTAGGGAAAAGCATCGAACGACCCGAATGTTATTGCATATTCGGGTGGCCCATGTTCAAATACACCTACCAGAGCAATTTCAGCCTGGTTCGTGCTCTCAGAAGAGTTTGGCGCCCCGCGATGACGGGAGTGCCTGCCGACAAATGCTAAGTGCGTGGATCCATGAATCCATTATCCATCCCAAGTTCCTTACCATTCATTTGCCCATGTGAATCCATCATCCATCCAGATATCCCAACTCAATCTCTTTACATTGATTCCAACTCAAATCACATTCACCAGACGCTAAGATTTCATACAATGGCCATTCATTGGCATAGACACTACTGAGCACATACACACCACCACTGCCAAGCACCACCACTCCGCCATCGCCTCCGATTTTCAGCCCTCCACCTCCTCTTGCCCCACCACACACGTCGCTTTCGCATCCCCTCCCCATCCTGCCCATCCGCTAGTCACGATTGCACGGCCAGGCGTTGCAGGTGTTCCATGAACACCTGGAGAGACACGTCATCCGTGAGAATGACCTCTCCTCCTGGCACCGTTGATGCACTGTTGTATGTCGCTGATGGGTTAAGCTTCGCCAGCAGGAACCGGGCCTGCAATGCACATGCACATGGGTTGTGTATTGAATAGTTTAGAATCAAATATAAGTTCGAGCATATTCCCAGCACGGCATTTTCCAGAAATGGCAACGATATGCGGGGCCTGCCACACATACACACCACCCCCCATCGCCCACCCCCCCGTCACCCATCCTCCCATGGCCCATCCCCCATCGTGACTCCCTGTGTGCCGTCACCTGGCTGCCGTTCTGGTCGCAGTCCACGAGGCGTGGCGTGGGGAAGCGCTCTGCCATGATGCCCGCTGCATCGCTCTGCGGGGCTGCCAGTAGCTGCGCGAATGCCTGGTGGGGCAGAGGGCGGCAGGACAGACAAGGCACGCAGGCAGGGGAAGAGGACACGCAGCAGGGGAGGCGGTGATGCAAAGGTGGAAGCAGGGTGCCGTGCCAGAACACCACGAGAGTGGATAAATGGCACCGGCTTGTACAGTCACACATTGCAGAAATGGGCGCGTGGGTGACCAGATGGTTGGTCACAGCCGGTTGCGGCTGGCCTCTCACCTGGTGCTCGGGTTGGTTGTGGTAGCCAGCGTTGCGCCACTGGGCGATGGTGGAGCCGTGGAAGATGACCACTGAGAAGAAGGCGTCCAGCAGCAGGATGCGGTCCACTGCGATGGCTGCCACGTCTAGCAGCGCCGGCTCCGGTGGCGCGTTGAACGAGTAGGACGTGAGTGTGGGCTGACGGGTAATGGGAGTGAAAGCGGGAGGGGGGTGGGTTGGGTTGGGGGGAGTAGTAAGAGGAGGTGATGCGTCGAGAGGACAAGGATGATGGTAATGCGTGTTGAAGGAGTGGGAGGCAGTAGTGCGCGGAAGGGAAGTTATACTGAGAAACATTTAAGGTGGGTTGGAGGAAACGACACAAGGGAAAGGGAATCTCCATGCGCGCACCTGGATCATGACGAGGCAGTTGAGGACGTTTTCCCGGTTGAGCGCCATTCTGAAGTAGGCCGTCTCGTCGGGACTGCTGCCAAACACCTGCTCACATGCGCAGCATGAGGGATGTGCGAGTGGGAGGGCAGAGACGTGAGCGCAGGGGAGAAAAGCGTGCATATTTTCGGGGCAAAGAATGGGTTGTGGGGCATGCGGCACGGGCATGGGGGCGAATGGCATGGGCATGGGCGAACGGCTTGGAGCATGTGACACAGACACCTCCCCCCCACACAAACACACCCTCTCTCAGTCCCTCGCGCTCTCTCTCCATCTCACTCACCCCCCCTCACTCTGACCTGCACGAACTGGGAGCGGCGCAAGTTGAAGAGGAGCTGGGGGAAGATGGAGAAGTTGGTGTCCTTGTCCTAACCGCACCTACCCACGGACTTGATCCAGCTGACGCCTGCGCGGCCCACCTGCCCGCCTACCACAAGCAAGCCACCTGTACAAACGGCGAGGACCTGCACCCCACGCACCTGCACGAACTGGGAGCGGCGCAGGTTGAAGAGGAACTGGGGGAAGATGGAGAAGTTGGGCGAGAGCGAGAAGGAGGCGGGGTCGTCCTTGCGGTAGTCGCCAAACTTGTTGCACACGCGGATGAGCATGCGGTCCAGCCACCGCGTGGCGTCAAACTCCTCCTCCACCTCCATCTTGTGGCTCATCACCCGCGCCACCACCACTGCTGCCGCCTCCTGGTCGTACCCTGCCACCAGCTCCTGCAGTAGCACCAGGGGTTGAACGAGACAGAGACAAGACAGGCGGGAAGAGACACAGTGGCCGTGAGAGACATGCGGGGACAAGGAGCATGATGCGAGGTGAGGTGAGCAATGGAAGGGACGGGGCTGGGGAGGTGAAGGGGGGAAGGGGGGGGACGTACAGCAGTGGTGATGGAGCCGTCGACCCAACTTCTGGGTCAACCTTGTTGGTAGTGCGATGTGCGGCAGCAGTAATTGAAGCTCGGGCATGAAGAAGGTGAGCAGGAAGATTTGATTCAAGGGGTGGTGTGGGGGGGGAGGCGAGGGGGGGCGCACGTACAGCGGTGGAGATGGAGACGTCGACCCAACTTCTGGTGATTGTGGTGCAGCGCAGCCGTGTCTCGCCTGATGGGTGCTGGTAGCTGATGGTGGGTTGAGGAAGGCAGGGAGGAGAGGGCGGAGGGGGGGGAAACGGAGGTGACGTTTGGACCCCGTATGCCCCCACCCCAACCACAACACATCACTGATCTTAACATGCGGACCCACCCATACCACACTACCCACAACCATCCCATTCCATCCCACCCCACACCACACCACCCCACTCAACCAAACCCACCCCACCGCACCCGACCGCACCCCACCGCACGGCACCTGGTGGTGAACTGCAGGTGGAACTGCTGGGAGGCAGCGGTGGCGGCAGCGGAGGGGGCGCCGGAGGGCTGTTGAGCGGTGGCGATGTCAAAGAGCAGGGCGACGGTGGTGAGGGCGTCCAGCCCACACAGCTTCCACTGCGTCGTGTGACCCTGGCAGATGGGCGTGCCACTCGTTGATGGACCTTTCTGCAAGTGAGGGGAGTGGAGGGGAGGGACGAGTGGGGGCAGATGGGGAGAGTGGGGGGAGAGTGGGGGGAGAGTGGGGTGAGAGTGAGGGGGGACGGGGGTTGGAGAATGGGGGTGAAGTGTGGGGAGAGTGGGCGGGAAAGTGGGGGGAAAAGGGTGGGAGGGCAGGGGGATTGTTTGAGAAGAGTGGGCTGCGAGTGGGGGGAGAGTAAGGCACCTAGAAAACGCTTATTAGAAAGACAGAAACATGTAACAATCAACTTGCAGGGCGAAGATGGGTGGGCGAGGAGGAGAGCGGGAAGAAGAAGCAGCTTCACTGACCTTTTCTAGCGAGGCACAGGGGCCGATGGCCCCTTGCACCTTGATGTCCTTGGAACAGTGCAGCTCCAACATGCCACTGCACACACACCACAGCGCGCACGGGGAGGACATGGATGCAGGGGGGGGGGGGGGATGGGGGTAGCGGTGGGTGTTGAGAGGTGGGTTGGGTTTAAGTTTGGTGTTGGGTTTGGAGGGAGGAAACGAGGAGGCCGGAGAGGGGGAGAGGGGAGGAGCGGAGAAGAGGAGATGGAGAGAGGGTGTGTGCGTGACTGACTTGAAGGAGAGGCCAAGACTGGAGTCCCCCTGCTGGAAGACCCTCTTGAGCGAGTCCTTGAACACCGCGTGCCCGTAGCTCTCCGACAGCGCCACCAGCCCGCCCGTCCTCTCCACCGCCACCTTCATCTCCGCTATGCCCACCTGGGTGGGGGGGGGGGGACGGGTGGAGGTGGGAGCAGCGCGGTGGAAGGAGAGTGAGCGAGGGAGGCGGGGTGGGGGGAAACTGACAGTGGTGAGAGAGCAGAGAGAAGTTGCGTTTGTTTATGCGAAAACAGAGAGATGGGGCATAGCACGCGGCGAAACAGGGGGGGTTCACCGTGACAGCACACGCCATCTGTCAGTCAACACGCACCCACCTGGTCGAGCGCGGAGGCGAAGAGGTCGAGCACGTGGCCCTGCGCCACGAGCTGCTTGGCGAGCCCCTCGTAGAACTTGACGGCCTTGCTGTAGTGCGGCGCTGCATCCTTGTCCAGATCCTTGTGCGACCGGATGGGATCCGATAACTCCCGACTCACTATCTGCACGTGGGCGTGGGGGGTGGGGAGTGGGGAAAGGGAGGAGGGCAAGGAGGGGGGAAGGGAAGAGGAGGTTGAGGGGGGAAGGGATGGTGGAAGGATGTGGACAGACGGACAGAACTTGAAGGCGCTGCATCCTTGTCCAGATCCTTGTGCGACCGGATTGGCTCCGATAGCTCCCGACTCACTATCTGCCCCGTGCAGGAGCAAGTGTGGGGGGCCCAAGGGGTGGGTGGGTTGGGCGTGGGAGGGTGGGGTGGGAGGGGGGAGGAGAGGTGAGAATGGGAGGAGGAATGCAGGAGGAGAGGAGGGATGGAGTGACAGTCTGACTGCTGGAAACGAGGGAAGACACAGTGGCACTGGCGGCAGAGTAACTCAAAGAGCAACAAACCAGAGCAGAGGAAAGCACAGCACAGCACGGCACATCACACGCAGGACAGAGTAGGGCAAGGAGCAGCAGCACTGACCACGCCGGGTCCTTCAGTGCAGGGCCCGCCGACGAAGCTGAGTATGCGCGCGCCCGTGCCCGGCACGCACGCCCCCAGCAGCCCCACGGCCACTGTCAGCGCCGTGCCCGTGCACCGCGCTGGGCGCTTGTCCGCCGCCACTGGGAACGCATCCCGACTCAACTCGTCCAACACCTGGGGGGGGGAAGGAGGGCGCAGCAGAATTCGAAGGAAGTGGGGCGCAGATGGGGGTATGGAAGTGGGAAGCGGTTGGGGAAGAGGAAGAGGGGCGGAGTTGGGGGAGGGTAAAGAAGGGTAAGTGCGGGGTTGACTGTGAGACATAGGGAATCGGGGCGGATGCGGGGATCTGTTTGGAGCATGGGAAATGCTTGGCAACCAGATTCGTTAAGCGGCTCAGAGAATATTCCAGCACAAGAACTAACTTGGCATTGGGTGAGAGGGAGCAAATGAGGAGCGATGCGTCAGCACAGTCATGGATAGGAATGGTAGAGGGGAATGCAAGGTGCTTTTGGCGGTAAGGTGAAGTGAGAAAAAAGGACGTTACTGACGGGATGGAGGGTTGGCTTAAGACTGAGAGTGAGAGGGTGGGCTTGGAAGGTGAGTTTTGAGCCGACATAACGCAATCAATAAACGATGAGCAGTAGGCTAGGTGCGGACAGAACTCACTGTGGAGAGAGTGAATTCACACTCTTGTGCCGGCAGCAAGAACCGAGCCACGCTCCCCGGCGACACCGCCCCATGCCCCGGCCCTCCCGCCACTCCACCCTTCCCCCCGGGCCCTGCAGCGCCCATGGGCGGCCCTGCGAGCCCCAGCTGGTCCACGACCTGCTGCTGCGAGGCCTCCTTGCCGCCTCTGAAGACGAACATCTTGGGGCAGTCGCTGAAGCCCAGCTCGTGCACGTACACCAGTGACCCGTACGTTATCAAACCTACAAGCGCGTTCTCTGGGAGAAGCCCTATGGCCTGCGGGGCAGGGGGAGAGTGCCGGGCGCGTGGAGAGGGGGCGGGGGGAGGGGACGGGGAGAGGGGGTTGTGTTTTGGAGGAGTGGTGGGTGGGGAGGAAGGGGGTTATAAGGGTTGAGTAAGAGCAAAAGGTTGTGGCGGGGTAATCGTGGGTGCTGACGATGAGTTGATGGGAGGGATACGGGAGGGACGGGCGGGCGAACAACAGGCGGGAAGGGGAGAAGAGGGGGGGGAACCGCAACCAGTTTCCCTCCTGCTTACCCACTCTTCCATCATCTCCTCAAACTCCCCATTTCTATTTATTTCCCCCTCCCCCTCCCTCCCCATTCCCGCGTTCGCCCTTGCTCTTCCCACCGACTCCTCAACCCGTCCCCGCCCACCCCACCAACCTCTTCTGGCGGCGGTCACCTGCGAGACGGCGGTTTTGAGGTACCCCAGCTCCTCCTCGATGAGGCACGTGTCGAGCACGAAGAGGAAGACGGGCGGCGACGCGGGCGCGGAGAGCGGCAGCGAGTACTCGATGGTGGTGTACTGCGGGAACAGCTCCGCGGGCAGGTTCGACTCCGATATCGCCGCGTAGTGCGGCGGAAATTGGTTGCGCTGCGCGGGCGGGGGTTGGAGGTTGGGTGCGGGGAGGGAGAGGGGGAGCGGGCGAGGGGAGGGAAATGGGGGGAAGAGAAACGATGGGGTTTGAGACGGGAATGTAGGCCAGAGAGGAGGGCGGGTGGAGGGGGGACCGAGAGAAGAGGTCTTGGAGGGAGTAAATGCTGTTGGACTCGGGTCAGTCTTTGAGAACTCGCCATGATACGACTTTTTGCTTGCGTGCAATCGCATGCACCCGACTTGAAGCCAGTTTATTGAAAATTTCGACAGACTCGCGGGAAACGAGCTCGCTGGGACAAGGTCACGACGCGACGACTTAAAGAGGAATTAAACTACAACGAACATGACGGCTGAGGTGCCTGATCGCACGGCGGACACTGCGCGAGGTCGACGCAGATACTCGATCGCGAGGCGCAACAGTGGCGCCTTTCCCCTGCTGCCATCACTGATTCACTGCTACTAACCTGGTAGCAGAAGGGGCAGACCCACATCTTGCCAATGAAATCCACTCGCGCGAACGGGTTGAGCACGGCGAGGCACGTCTTGCAGCGGATGGGCTCGTACGGTAGCACGGGCATGTCCGGCAGTCGCTTCACGGGCGTGTAAAGCGCGGCGAACGGCACCACGCACTTGGTCGCCTCCACCTTGCTGTTGGGCCACACGTTCCACGTCAGCCGCACGCCGTCCACCGCCTCGAGATCCGCGAAATCCGGCGCTGCCATGACGGGCTGATGTGGTCGTTGCTGCTGCTAGGGCTGCTGCGCGTGCTGCGACGGTTTTAACGCGGTTCTGTTATGGATCGCGGGAATTTCGAGTGTGACACGCCAGCGACCAATCGTTTCGCGGACATGCGCGCGGGAAGGACACTGACAGGTGGAGGGACCCTCTCCGGTGGAAGGTTCGGTCATTCGACCGCGTTTATAGCCTCTGCCGAGAACATTATAATACTTTACTCAAAGAGTAATTTAGCTGTCTCAACAACCCTGAGCCATGCAGTCTGTTGGCAATTCCCGTGAGGAAATCGCACCAGTCGCACGCGGAGCTTTGTGCGACTAAAAGCGACGCTACCAGGATCTTGTGGGCGAGAACTTCTTGGAGTTGCAGCTGCCTTCCAATCAGCAACACGTCAAATACACCGGAGATTCTGAGGGTGTATCGCTGTACCATTTACGTGGTTCAGTACGGTGACAGACGCGGGAAATCAGCTTTCTTGCACCACCCTTAGTAACCTTTCTGAATCCATTCGAACCGTGCATTACGCACAGGTCATCCATCCATTCCTGACAGGTGATTCCAAAGCTCCAGGGGCGTTGGAACTTGGAACTAGGCTGCCAGGAGGTGGTGTTAGTGTAGGGCAAGGCAGGGTAAGTGGTCCTAGCTGTCACTTTCCTTTCGGGACGAGACGCTTTTCCGCCTCCGTCGTTCGTGAGTCTTTGTGACATGTGACTTGCCGTTAGGGCTATTTAAGCCTCTGTCCGTTGCTATTATCCTCTTGACTTTATTTTTCTCAGTCAGTGACTTCCAACAGTGACAAACTACTCCAACCTATGTGCGTCAGGCTTAGTTAAACGCTCACAAGTTTAAGTCGGTTGTCAGAGAGCATTTAAACGGTGCATTCTGAGGCGCATGAATCGATTCAAGCGCGGTTCAGGTCTCGATCATGCGTTTTCCTGAACCACAGCACAATCTGCGCGTTCGGCGACCTGTTCTTGCCGTTTAAGGCTGACCGAATTCGGCGCGCAATGGAGGGACTGAACGGCAAACACGGCGACGAGAACGGCGGGACGTTGAGTCGCCGAGATACGCAAGGGAACGACTCGGAAGTGGCGAATCTCACGAGTCGGAAAAGGGTGTCGGCGGCGGTTGGGGTGGAAGCGGCGAGAGGATACCGCGGCCCGCCACAGCTGCTGCTTTCCCCTCATGCGCCCTTTCCGCTTCCCCTTCCCCTTCCGCCCGGATCCAATCGCGACGCCGTCGAGCGATGGCTTCGCGGCGCCGTGGCGTCGTGCTTACGTCAGCTGTGCCGGATGACGCCCGACGCGCTCGTCCCTGCGGTGCCGTTTCTCGAGGCGCTCTGCGTGCGATGGTTGCTGCACGACGCGTGGCAGCTCGCCATTGGACAGCAGCGGCTCCAGTTCGGCGGATGCGTTGAAGCGGCGGAGAATGCGAGCAGCACGCACGCGGGCAGGTAGGACCGTGTGATCAGAAGTGGATGGATGGTGTGGATATGCATGTGGTAGGCATGGCGCGTAACAGGATTTGGTGCGGATAGGATGGCTTGATTATCCCCACCTCTTTTCTTTCTCTCTTGCTCTCGTACTCTCATGCTCCCTTGCTTCGTCTATCCACTGCTCGTACCCCACTCTCTCTCTTTCTCCGCACCTCTCTTTCCGCGCGCAGCTATTTATGCGAGGCGGAGCCCGTCCGCGCAGTCATTGCGCGCATCAAGGAGCACACCGCAGCAGCCCAGCGCCAACAGCAGCAGCAGCAGCAGCGGCAGCAGGAGGTGGAGGATGGTTACTGGGGCGAGGGTAAACAAGAGGAGCGCGAAGAGCAGACTAGTCTGTCAGACGCGCGTTTCTTCCTCGTGGGTGCGGGTGGCGAGGCCGAGAGCGGCGAGTGGCAGCGGGTGGTGGCAGCAGCAGTGGCTGGTGAGGTGGGCGCTGCTGTGATAGAGGTGGACGGCCCCTTGCTCTACTCGCTCTCCCATCTGCTGCTCCACGCACCAACAGACGCCGCAACCACCAGCAGTACCACGCCCACCACTGGGATTGCGGGAAATGTTTCGCCACCATCAGCAGTGACAGGTACAGCAGCAACAGCAGGAGGAGCAGCAGTAGCAGGTGCAGCAGGCAGCGAGGGCATGGACACAGCGGGTACCAGCCCCACCACCTCGTTTGACTCCCTCCCCTCCTCCGCCTTCTCCTCGCCATTCTTCTCCGCCTGTCCCTCGTCCCCCGCCTCCATCCCGTTCTCTGCCTCACCTCCCCCGCTCCGTCTCTCCTCTCCCGCCGAGGCACAAGGGCTTGGCACAGCAGTGGAGGGAGCCTGGCGCAGGGACAGCACCAAGGGCAGCAGCAGGAGTGGCAGCAGCAGCGGCAGTAGCAGTGACAGCGGCAGGAGTGGCAGTGGCAACAGCAGTAACAGCACCACGAGTGGGAGTGGCAGCAGTGGTGGCAGGGGCAGGGGCAGGGGCAGCGGGAGCAGCAGTGCTCGGGAGGTGGTGGCATGGGCGGTGCCGGAGCTGCTGTGTGTGCCGTGGGTGCATGCAGTGCTGCGAGCCATGGACCGAGCCAGGGCGGGCAGGAACCTGCTGCTCGCACGCATGCTGCTCGCCATGTGTCGCCAGGTTTGTCTGCACCCAACTCGCTCGCTCTGCTGTAATATGCACACCAGTTTTTTTTATATAGTGGCCGAAAGAGGCGTTGATTGATGGCTCTGCTCTGCATAGCCTCTCCTTCTCTCCCTCGCTCCTTTCCTTTCTAGCCCCAGTCCCTTCTCCCCTCCTCATGCATATCCCCCCCTGTGCCTCCCCTCGTCCCTCTCGTGTTGCAGCTGGCGGAGCAGCGTCCGGTGATACTCTTCCTGCCCCACGCGCACCTGCTCTCAGAATCCCACTCCGATTTCCTCCTCGCGCTCTCCATCGCCACCAAAGGTAATACCACCTCCATTTCCCCCTTGCCCTTGTCCCCATGTTGCTTCTTTCCGTTCCTGAATGTGCACCTCTCTATCTTACACTGTACCGTGCTTTGAGCTGCCGGCATTCATGTTGAATCTGTACGCGTGTCTTGATCCATCGGTTCATGCTCGCTTTGCGTTAACCTTGCCTGCCCTCCCTAGTGATTCGCATCTCTATCCCCCACATATCCGCCTTCCTCCCCCACCCTCCCCCTTCCCTTCTCACTCCCTACCCAAACACCTCTCACACCCCTCGTTCTCTGTCTGTCAGAGCTAACCAGCAGCTCGGGCTCTTCAAGTCAAGCACCGCACTCCTCCCCATGGCCCGTCATCCTCCTCGCCACTGCACCCATGCCACTGCCTGGTCCTGCCGCTTCACTCCCCCACAACCACCACAATCACCACAACCAACAGTACCACCACCACCATAACCAGCAGCAGCAACACCACCACCACAACCACCAGTTGCAGCAGCAGCAGCGTGGGTCAGAGGGCAGGCAGGTGTCTCTCTGGGCCTCCTTGGCATCTCTTCTGCCCCATGTGCCTCTGCTGGCACACCACGCCCTCAAGGGAGCATCGCCAAGCCAGTCTGCTCATGGGCCAGGCCAGTCTGCTGCATCTCTGCCCAGTGCACCGCCTTGTAGATCATGTCTGCACTGCATGAGCTCTTTCCTCACTTACCATTTTTCCATTCTGCTACGCTTTCTCACCTCAACTCCACCCACCTCAGCTCTGAGGAGATTTGTTTTTTCTCCTCGCATCTGTTTCTGTATTGTGCTTATCCTCCCGTTCTTGGTTTCCGGTGTGCTTGTCCATTCTTTTGGGTGCTTGTGCGGACTGCAGGTGTCCTCACGCCCTCCCTCACGCACCTGCTCGCCTCCCTCCTACGAGTATGCATCCGCCTCTTCTTCCTCCCCCTCATCGCTCTCATTCGCCTTGCTAAGTCCGCCAAGCTCCTCCCGGCGGCCCCTCCTAAGCCAGCCAACGTGGTGAGTGGTAACGTGCCAGATTGTGCATTTGCGGCTGCTTGTATTATGACTGATTACAGCGTGAGCAGCTCTTGGTTCCTGCTATAGTTGCTTTACCATGTCTGCACTGCACCCCCATTCCTCTCCTTTTTCTTTGATGACGTTGCCTCTCGGCAGCTGCCTGTGCAGGTGCCTCTACTGTTCGACCCGTTGGGCCAGGAAGGGGCGCAGTTAGCAGAGAGGGAGGAGGACGAGGAGGGAGGGGAAGTGGAAGGGAAGAAGGGAAGGGAAGCCGCTCAGAACCTAGTGAGGGTGGAGAAAGTGGAGAGAAACAAAGAAAATCAGAGAAGGGTAGTGAAGAATGCGAGGGAGGAATGTGTGGATGCATCGAACGTAGTGGCATTGCGCATGGCGTGGGAGGGGCAGGTGGCAGAGCTGAAAGAACGGCTGCAGGAGGCACAGGCGCAGCTGCTATCAGTGGAAGGGCAGGTGCAGCTGGAACAGACTTGGAGGGAGGATTTGCTACGGCAGGGCGAGATGTGGGAGAGGAAGGCGGAGGGGGAGGCAAGGGGGAGAGAGGAGGCTGAGGGCAGGGAGAGGGAGGTGAGGAGGGAGATGGAAGGGGAGAGGGAGAAGCGGGTGGAAGCTGAGAGGAAGGTGGGTCGTTTGTGTGAGGAAGTGGGGAGGATGAAGGGGAGGTTGGCGAGGGCTGCAGGGGAGGTTAGGAGGGTGGTGGAGGAGGGGAATGAGAAGGAGAGGGAGGTGAGGGAGGTTAGGGAGGAGGTGCAGAGGCTACAGGAGGAGTTGGTGGTGAGGGAAAAGGAGAGGGAGGAGGAGGTGCGAGAGGCAGAGGTGAGAATGGGTGAGCTGGGGAGACGGGTTAGGGATGCAGAGAGAGAAGCGGAGGAGTTGAGAGGTTTGGTGCGAGAGGAGGAGCGGAGGAGGGAGGAGATGGCTCGGGAGAGAGTGGCTTTGAGTGAGAGGTTGAGAGAAGCAGAAGAGAAGGCGAGGGAAGTGGAAGGGCTGAAAGCACGGGTGAGAGAAGCAGAGGCGAAGGAGGAGAAGGTGGAGGCATTGAGGGGGAGATTGATGGGAGTTGAGGCGATGGTGGGGGAGATGGAGGGTGTTGTTAGAGAGAGCGAGGAGAGAGTGAGGGAGGCCGAGAGGGTCAGTGTGGAGAGGAGAAAGGAGGTTAAGGGGTTAGAGGAGGGGCTTTCTGCTGCTGTGGCGAGAACGGGGGAATTGGAAGAAGAGGTAAGGGAGAATGGGGAGAGAGTGAGAGAGAGGGAGGAGAGAGTGAGGGAGGCAGAGAGAGTCAGCGGGGAGATGGGAAGGGAGGTTGATGTTTTGAAGGAGAGGCTCAATGCTGCTGTGGCGAGAGTGGGGGAGTTGGAAGACGAGAATAGGGAGAGTGGGGAGAGAGTGAGAGAGGCAGAGAGAGTTAGTGAGGAGAGGGGAAAGGAAGTTAAGGGGTTAGAAGAGAGGCTTGCTGCTGCTCTGGCGAGAGTGGGGCAACTGGAAGAGGAGATGAAGGAGAGTGGGGAGAGAATGAGGGAGAGCGAGGAGAGAGTGAGGGAGAGCGAGGAGAGAGTGAGGGATGCAGGGAGAATTAGTGGGGAAAGGGGAGAGGAGGTTAAGGGGTTAGAAAAGAGGCTTGCTGCTGCTGTGGCGAGAGTGGGGCAACTGGAAGAGGAGATGAAGGAGAGTGGGGAGAGAATGAGGGAGAGCGAGGAGAGAGTGAGGGAGAGCGAGGAGAGAGTGAGGGATGCAGAGAGAATTAGTGGGGAAAGGGGAGAGGAGGTTAAGGGGTTAGAAAAGAGGCTTGCTGCTGCTGTCGCAAGGGTGGGGAATCTGGAAGAGGAGATGAGGGAAAGCGGGGAGAGAGTGAGAGAGAGCGAGGAGAGTGTAAGGGAGGCAGAAAGGGTTAGTGGGGAGAGGAGAAAGGAGGTTAAGGGGTTAGAAGGGAGGCTTGCTGCTGCTGTGGCGAGAGTGGGGGAACTGGAAGAGGAGATTAGGGAGAGTGGGGAGCGAGTGAAAGCGAGGGACGGGCGGGCAAAGGTGCTTGAAACGATGGTGGGGGAGTGTGAGGGGCGAGCGAGAGAGAGCGAGGAGAGGATGAGACATGCTGAAGGGAAGTTGGAAGCGGTGAGAAAGGAGCTGGCAGTGGTGGAGTGGAGTAGGAGGGAGTTGGAAGGTATGAGGGAGGAAGCACGTGTGCGAGAGGAACAGTGGAGAAAGAACGAGGAGGGGTGGCAGGGGGAAGAGAGGAAGTGGAAGGGGAAGGTGGATGAGTGGAGAGCACTTGAGGACATGTGGAGGACGAAAGAGGAGGAGTTGAGTTTGAAGGTGGAAGAAGAGAGGGCAGTGGTTGATAGACTGAGGAGGAGAGAGCGAGAGGTGGAATTGGAGAGGGTGAGATGGGAGGAGCGGCAGAGGGAGAGGGAGAGAGAGGCAGAGGTTCGGTTGCAGGCTGAAGTTGGGAGGCGGGAGGAGGTGGAGAGGCAGGTGGCTGGGCTGAAAGCACGCGTGCGAGAGGAATCAGAGAGAGTGCGGGCTGCACTGGTGGAAGGGGAAAGTGGGAGGAGGAGAGTGGCAGAGGCGGAAGAAATGGTGAAGGAGGCAGAGAGGCGGGTTGCAGAGGCGGTTGAACGGGCTGAGAGGATGGAGAGAAGGGCGCGGGAGATGGAGGAGAGGCGGGAAGCGGTGGAGGGGGAGTTGGAGGGGTTGAGAGGGATGGTGCGATGGGTGATGGTGAGTGTGGGGGTAGCTGTAGGAGAGGGGGAGTTACAGGGTGGGTGCAAGGAGGGGTTGGAGAATATGGCTTGGCAGTGGAAGGAGGAGGTGAGGGCGAGGAGGGAGGAGGTGGTTGATCTGAAGAGAGTACATGAGGAGGAGAGAGCACAGTGGGAAGAGGAGGTGGAAGGGTGCAAGCGTGCTTGGGAGGAGGAGAAGGGGCGGTTGCAGGGGGAGGGTGAGAAGAGGGTTCAGGCGTGGACGGAGGAGGAGGTGGAGCGGAAGCGAGAGGTGAGTGAGTTAAAGGCGAAGGTGAGTGAGATGGGGGAGATGGTGGGTGCGATGAGGAGGGATGTGGAGGAGGCAAGGAGGGTGGCAGAGGGGGAGAAGGGCAGGCGAGAGGCCGTGGAGGCACAGGCGAGGGTGCTTCTGGAGAAGGTAGAACTGATGAGGCAGAGGCGGGCGGCAGGGAAGAAGCGGCAGGATCTGGGGAAGGCTGTATCTGGGGTGGTGGGAGCAGCGGGAGAAGACAGTGGGGTGGGTGCAGGTTCACCAGGGAAAGGCGAGGGTCAGGTGGAGGGTGCAGAGAGAAGGGGAGGTGGGGAGGGGGGTGGAGCGGGAGGGGGGAAGAGGCGGTGGAGGGAGGAGGTGGCAGTGCTGTTGGGTCGAGTGGAGCGGATGGGGCGGGAGAGGGAGGAGGCGGAGAGGGCGTGGGTGGGGCGCATGGCAGCCGTGGAGATGCGCAACGTGGTGATGGGGGTGGAGCTGGCTGCCGTGGAAAGAGAGAGAGACGCGCTGCTCAGCACCCTCATGGGGTCTGCTGCTTCTGCCCGTGGGGTCGCTCGTGGTGCTTCAGCTGCTGGGATCGCACTCTCTCGTGGCGCTTCAGCCGGTGTTTCTTGTGGTGGTGCCGCTTCTCGTGGTGGTGCTTCTCCAGGGCTCTTGCGCACTGTGCCTTCCTCCTCGCCCTCTTCACCCTCCGTGTCCCCTTCACCCCTCCACGCTTCTGCGTTCTCGCGTGTGCAGCCAACCCGGCTCTTTGCTATTGGTGGGTTGATTGGGTCCGCAGACGGTGATAATGCTGCTGATTATGCACCTGCTGCTGTTGCTGCAGCTGCTGCTACTGCTACCGGCAGTGCTGTTGGAGGCAGTGGTGAGGGGGCTGTTGCGAGTGGTGAGGGGAAGACTGGTGTGCTTGCAGTGAGCCGCAGCATGAGCAGTGGGTCAGGGAGAGGGAAGACAGGAGGTCATGCATCGGCATCAGCAGCAGCAACAGCAGAAGCAGCATCAACGCTAACAGCATCATCACCCCTGGCAGCAGCAGCACCTGCAGCAGAGGATGAGAAGGAGGGGCTTGGACCGCGGTGGAGCAGTCTGGCGACAGTTTGGCCTCTATCGTGATTGCGGCGTGATGAAATGCCCTCTGAGTGCTGCTAGGGATGTGTTCTGCAGGATGCAGGTGGTGGTGTCATGCAGATCAAGGCTGTCGTTCCTGTGCCTCTCCATGGCCCTCACCAGACAGTTACCAGAAAAGAGTTGTGCCGCATGTGCAAATCCTGCTGCTGCTGCTGCTGATTGCAGTAATAGCTGCTCCTTTTCTCCATCGTCTGTCTCGCCTCCACCCGCCCGACCACAGCCATCCATCCATGCTACCACTGAGGTGTTAAGCCATCAGCTCCGTCCGTCACTGCTGCCTGCAGCATTGTTGTGAAGTTTTAAACCGACAACTTGCGCTCTTTTACAGTGTTGTGCAGCAAGGCGCTGCTGGAAACTCCCTTTCCCCTTGCCCTCTTTCACTGTCCTGTGTAGGGGGTCGACACCTACTCCCACAAGAGCTTAGCTGTTGTTCAGGATGTTTGCTTTGCATATAGAACAAAGACGATAAAACATCCACAGCACTGATACGGAAGGGGAGAACCAGTCTCCCAGCACATACAATAAGGCAAGAGACTCCCCCTAAGTCCAAGGAATCAACTAGAAGTCCTTCCTTAGGGTGGTCTGGTCTCCATTCAGCTCTACACGTCAGAGGGGCCAGTAACGACCCTTCGCTTACTGGTACGGTATCTATTCAGGTTTACCTACATTGCCAAGGGCCAGGATACTACTGTGGAGCTCTGGTGTCAGGTCGTATCCCTGGCTAGTGTCAAGATACTGTTGGTGTCAAGCGGGAAATTCGCTTGACACCAGGTGGAGCCGCGCCCGCACGCGGCTCCAGCCTGGTGTCAATGTTGGGCACATTGGGCAATTTCCCGCGATCAGATTGGTCGGTTTAGCTGACACCAGGAGGACTAGTCCTCCATGCGTTTTCCGAGATAGTGTCATGACACTAACCACTCTTGACACTAGCCAGGGATACGACCTCAGTTCAGCAGACGCACCTATGGTACCGTAGCATTGTTTAGCACCACACCTGTGGTTCAGCACAGGCAACTGTACCGGTAGTGTATGTTGCTAACCACTCAACTTCATTATCTTATTATCATGTGAACAGGTGTACAGAATTGCTTAGCAGGCTGGTAGCTGATGCAGTAGCAAAAATGTTTATCAATAAAAACACTGATAGGTAGGTACAAACAGGCTATTTAACTCTAATGGGCCTGCTGCTGGCCAATCAAATGCAGCCAGGCGTCAGACCAGGAACCAAGAGTCATTTCTGCAGCTGCCAAGTCAACCAGTACGCCACATGCAGCAACGTGCCAGACCAGGCAGGTGAGAAGTCAAATGAGATGTGGCACACAAAAGCAGCCACACTTACAGAAAATGGCATGCGGTGAAGGCAGGCCTGAGAGTGTCGCACAAACAGCAGAATTCACCCACTTGAGTAGCTCGGTCGGTTGTGGAAGAGTGGAGGGGGGTGTGAGAGATGAGGGAAATGAGGGGGTGGTGGTAGGGGAGGGGAGGGAGTTGAAGGGTGGATGTGGGAGGAATCAGCGAGGGGAAAATTGAAGTATTGGAGGGGGGAGGGGATGAGGGGTGAGTCGGAAAGCGGGGGTGGAGGGAGAGAGGGGGGGAACAGAGTGAGACAAGGGGAGGTGAGGGTGAGCGTGAAGGAAGAGAACAAGAGAGGCAGCAGTGATATGAAGGGGAAGCTAGAGCGAGGAAAATGAGGGGAGAGCAGCGGAAATGAAGGGAGAGCGGGGGAAACGAGGGGAGAGTGGGGAATATGAGCGAGTAGGTGAGCTGAGAGATGCGTGGCGTTTCTAGGCCAGAACACAGGGAAAAAAGGGAGAGAAGCGGAAGCACGGGAAGGGAGGAAAGGAGGGGGGAGGGAGAGGAAAAGACGTTTCTAGGCTAGACCACAGGGAAACAAGGGAGAGAAGGGGAAGCGGGGGAGGGGGGGGAAAGAGGTGCGATAGGGGAGGGGAGAGGGGGGGGGGGGTTGACGTTTCTTGGCTAGGTCACGGGAGGGAAAGGGAGAGACAAAAAAGCGGGGAAATGGGAAGGGGGAGGGGAGCTCAAAGGGTGGCCGCTTCGCCTTTACTTTCCGCCAATCCTCTCCGTCCTCAATCATATCACTTCACCCGTGTATTCCTTCTTTTCTCCCCTCCACCCACCTCCCGGCCTCCCTTTTTACCGTCTTGCGTCCAGGGTACCATCGACGCGCACTAGAATCCAGAAAGATGAAGGGGAGAGCGGAAACGGGAGGAGGAAGCGCAAAACAAGGGGAGAGTGGCAGCTTCGCCGTTTCGCCAGTCCTTACCATCCATTTCAACATCTTCTCCCCTCCACTCACCTCGCGCCCTCTTTTTTTCCGTCTTGCGTCCAGGATACCGTCGATGCTCCGAGGTCGTCGAAACGCGCTGTATAATCGACGAAACGCGCTACCTTAAAGATGCGTCCGAAATCGACGCTACTAATTCGTCCAGTAAGGATTCCGTCCGCATCATGTGAATAGAAGCCAGATCTGGATCGCGCAACTTCTTACCGATACTGCGACATCTTATCATAACTGATACAGCTTGCACGCCAACAGACGCCTGAAGCGACAGTAAGTACCACCGAGAAAGTGAGCAACACTTGCTACATCGTCAAAAAAAAATCTGCCATGAAAAAGCTGTACTCAGATCAAGTACCGCGCTGAGGTCCGACCTAACAAGAATCATCCATGGACACTAACAAGGTGAGCGGCGAAACTAGAACTGAAAGCAGATTAGGTCGAGAAGTCACACCCTCGCTATTACTTTCTGGACAATGACGGGTGAGGGATTAGGCGTGGCAGGTTCGGAAAGTCGAGGTTCGGGTTGTTGATAATGCCATGGTGATCGTGCCAGGGTGTCAAAACCACCCTTCATTCCATTGGTTCACGTAAATCTTTTCTCATCCACCCAATGTTTTTCCTGCTGCCCAGCCAGCCGAACTTTTCAGCACCACGCACGAATTCCACGACCAAATCAAAGCCGTCCCGCACCTCACGCCGAACTAAAAAAAACTCATCTATGCTGTACGATTTCCCACAAAAAAAACTAGTGACCCAACTAAAGATAGTGCCACGTCAACCACCTCCTAGAAAGTTCGAGCCTGCCCTTCTCCACCAGCACGTTCAACACACCCCCCCCTGCACAAATACGCGCCCTTAGCAAAATCGTTTGCATATGGACAATCAAAACCAATATGCAATTGTCAACCCAACTGTGTACTCTACCATGAAGGTATTCAACATGGGTTGGGCTGGATGGTCATTTTGGATCCTGAGGTGTATGACACGGACAGATTTCCCGCCATCGCTTCAACTGGAGCCCTCCCGCACACACCTCAAAACCGTTTCAACTTGGCAGTGTTCGTGCAAGCCTAGAGATATCTGTTCGCGTTGACGAAGGGCAATTTTCAGTAACCAATGGGTTCGCCAATTCGCAAGAACCTGAGTTGGCTGGCCTCCTCCTTCAAGCAGATGATGACTCCACAGCTGCTCTGAAGCTTGTCTCTACCGCCGCTTGTGTCTCTACCGCCGTCTGAACCGCACTGACTCCGCGAACAAATGCAGGGGGGATGTCACGATCGACTTCCCATCCCAGTGCAATGCAAATCCAGTAAAATCTTTTGAACCATGTTCAACCAGATTGGACCATCCGTCAGGCATCCGACATCCCTCCATGTTCCCGCACTCATCAGATCTGCACAATCGCGAAATGACAAATACGTCGCCTTCCACGCAATGCACGAATTTCTTTCGCGAACCACGTCGCCACTCACCTCTGAGATTGTGGCTGCAACACGGTTTGGCGAAAACTCAGTTTCTGAATGCCACCGAGGAACGGCTGACAGCACAGGTTACTTGTGAGCTCGCCAATTCGCTAAACCATGACCCCAGCCTCTCCTTCTGGCAGATGATTGATTTTACACCTCCTCCGTCGCTCCTCTCTACGGCTGCTTGTGTCAGACCCAACCCAGACAGATCTTCAGTTCCCTCCCACAACTCTTCTGCCAGCCGCCTCCTAAGCACTAGAGCGGCTCAATTTAGCAGCACGCTTCGGGAAACGGATCGCGGCGGTTGGATGAGCGGAAGTTCTATAGACCACGTCATTAGATAATCGAATTTTGTGTTGCCACCGTGTTTTGTTTCTGGCCGTTGAAACAGCATACATGTCCCACACTGATGACATAGGATAGGGTAGGCGGTCCAATTAGACGGGGGGTGTATTTGGCGGTCCAATCAGACGTGTGGTTCATTTGGCGGTCCAATCAGAGCTGGGGCCATGCTTTTGTCGGCGATTCGTTATGATCCACCATATTCCAGGGTGGCATGTTTGGGACCACCGTCACAGCCAGCAAGGCAGATTTTGAACCGCTGAATGTAATCACCGAATAGCGCATCACAACGGTCCGCGATCAGACATTCCAAGCATCTTCAGGCTCACCTCATTTTCCGGCGCGTCTTTTTCAGAATATTAGTCAGTTTCCGCAGCCTTCTACGCATTTTGCCAGTCGAGCTTGGCTTCCGCTCTACCAGTTTAGAACGATCACCATCTTCTCACGTTGACACCATTCAGCCTGGCCTGGATCGTATGTGCGGATCACGGAGCTTCATAACCTCGACCGTGGGATTTTCCTCAACGTAGCGAGTCAACTTCGCATGTCGCCGATTTTGACGTCAGGTACAACAACCATCCGTATTACGTTTTCGTATCAGCTTTCTGCTTCCGTTAATGCACGCGGTCTTCAGTTTGTTTCGACGCCGATTCTGACAATGGTGCTCGTGTTGTACTATGCGCAGGACACCACGGTCGTTATCGGATCGTCGTGGATCTGCATCTTCATAGACCTCGTCGCGACGCGAGCTACGGCGTGGCAGAAGCGACATCGATCTCCCCGACTTGTGACGGTGAAGGTTGAATGTATCACCTTTCACCACCACTCACCACAGAGCCTTCCCCCTGGTAAAGGTTTGGTAAAGGTTTGGTAAAGGTTTGGTACAGGTTCGGTTAAGGTTCCCAAGGTGTTTGGTTGGTACTGGCTCCGTGGTGGGTCTTTCACGTTTCTTTCACGTTTGCAGTCTTCATTTCCTTTTGCTTTCTTCACTTCCGTTTACTGACTTTATGTTTTTCTTATACGTGCAGGTGCTATTGGATGCTGCTAGGCGCACTTTCGAAGATTTTATAGGAGCAACAGCCTTCGGGGCTCTCCATGCTTCAAGGCGTACAACAGAGGAGCAGCTCCACGAGTGAAGGTTGAACGTATCAACCGCACTCTCCACAATTCACTGAGCCACCCCCCTGGTTGAGGTTAGGTACAGGTACAGGTTTGGTAAAGGTCCCCCTTAAGGTTTTTCGGTTGGTATTTGGCTCTTTTTTTTCACGCTTCTTTTCGTTTTGCATTCTTTATTGCTCGACCTTCACTAATTCTTGTTTGTTGTCATACCTGCAGGTTCTATCTGAGGGTCTGCTGGAATGACTTCAGAGGAGCAACATCGTTTTTGGCGTCCTTCCATGCTTCGTGGCGTACAACAGAGGAGCAGCTCCAGGGCAGGTGAAGGTTGAACGTATCAACCACCCACTCCACACTCCTCGGAGCCACCCCCCTTGGTTCAGGTCAAGGTGATGGTAAAGGTTGAGGTTTGGTAATTGGTAAAGGTTTCCCTAAGGTTTTTTTATTGGTATTGGCTCTGTAGGCAGTGCACACCTGCACCACACTTGCAGCACCGTCCGTTTCTGCATGATCTGTTCACTGCTGTTTACTAACCTGGTTACCTTGATCTCCTTGCAGGTTATATTCGAGGTCCTTGTGCCACGCTCCAATTGTGCTCAGAGGAGCACCACACTGCCAAGCTCCAAGGCGGGGTGAACGTACCTGCCAACAGCACCTGGCAGGTGCCTCCCCTCTGTCCACCAGCAGTAAGTCCCGTTTCACTCTTTCTTTTTTTCACTTGCTGCATGTTTGGACGTTTTCGTCTGCTGACTTTTCTAACTTGGTTTTCCGTGTCTTTACTTGGCAGGTTGCTTTATCAAGGGTTTCAGCATGGCCAAGATTTATGGGAGCATCATGGCCTGCTGAGGCGCTTCAAGGCTCAACAACCATGGCAAGATAAGTTGTCAATTCCAGCCTCTTCACACGTTTCATAGTCCATAGAACCACCCCCCCTGGTACAGGTTGAGGTTTGGTTAAGGTCCCCTTAAGGTTGAGGTTTTTCAGTTGGTACCAGGTTCATTTGCAATGCTTAGTTCATGCTTAGTTTACTGCTGTTTACTAACCTAGTTTCCTTTTATCTCCTTGCAGGTTCTATTCAAGGCCCTCGTGCACATGCTCCAGATGGTGTCAGAGAGCACCGCACTGCCAAGCTCAGGCGGGGTGAACGTACCTGCCAACAGCACCTGGCAGGTGCCTCCTCTCTCTCCACCAGCTGTAAGTCTCGTTTCACCCCTCTTCGTTTTAGTCACTTGCTGCATGTTGGTTCGTTTTCCTTCATTGACTTAATTTACTAACTTGGATTTCCTGATTTCACTTGGCAGGTTGCTTCACCAAGGGATTTCAGCATGCTCAAGACTTCAGATCCATGGGAGCACCATTACCTGCTAATCGCCTCAATGCTCAACCTTGGCAAGATAAATTGCCAATTCCAGCCTTTTCCATTGCTTTCAAGCTTAGAACTTTTTTTTTTTCAGATTATGCTTCAATTCCCCATTGACTGACTTTATATTTCGCCTCATGGCAGGTTTTTTTTTAGTTCTCCAAGCTCCCTCTGCACGCCCATGGATCCCCAAGACCTTGCGCTGCACTCCACACTCCAAGCTCCTTAACCTCAGATAAGTTTCAGCCCTTGCCTCCATTATTTATGCACATGGTTTAACGCTCCTTACTTTGCTGCGCATTCCCCTTCGTCTGCATCCACGCTTGCTGATTCCTTTGCTTTATTCAAGTTGTGGCTTCATGATGATCCTGTTCACTGACTTGGTTCGTTTATCTCCTGACAGGTTCTCTCCAAGGGCTCTCTTCAATGCATCTCTTCACGACCATGAAGCCTCAAGTCCCTGCGCACTGCTCAACGCCTTCAACTCCCCAACTGCAGATAAGTCTCAGTCCTTTGCGCCTAGTCGGTTTTGCTAAACCTTTTTTATGAATTTGTGTTCGTCATTTTGCTTTGTCGCATGCTGCCTCCTTGCTGTTTTTTAAGATCCTGGGCTAATCTTTTCCTTTCTTACCATGCAGGTTCCTTTATGGCTGTTGAAGGTTGAAGGCAGTGCATGAGAGGGGTTGAACCCATGAGCATTGGGCTAAGCACTCGATTCCGGGCCAAACCGGACTGGTTCTGTCCCCCTCCGCCCCCGCCAAGTGCCAACACTGTCTGGCCAGCAGTTGTCATTTGGTGGAGGTGGGGGTGAACAGAGCCTGTCCCTAGTAGGGCTCCCGCATGTCTTGGGCGAAGCAATGCTCATGGCTCAGCCTTCCTCTCTGCCTGTTGCGCTGCCAGTCCATGCCGGGGTGGGCATGGATGGCATGCTGCCACTAGCAAGGATATTAGCAGTACCTTTAACCAGGATTCATCAGCTTGTTACTGTATGTTTAGGCTGAGAAATAATGGACCATATTTAGTGCACTGTAGGATCATGAGCCTGTTGTTTGTACGCTTCCTCTGGGACAATTTCTAAAGAGAATGCAGGTGTGATGGTATGGATGGAAGTATAATGTATACAAAGAAATCCCACACATGAACATGTATCAGGATAATCAGACTTGGTTCACAAAATGAGTCTAAACAGTTTGCATCACAGTTTATATCGGTGATTTGCATTGACGAACTGCCTTTCCGTTCCCCATTCTCCGTTTCTGAATTCTCAGCCATGGCAGACAAAGCGTCAAACATCTGGGCAGAGAGCGCAGCGGCGGAGAGCAGTGGGCACAAGCGGAAGGCGTCCCTTCCGTCCGCACGAAAGCAGAATGAGTGATTCTTTCCAATCTCTCTCATTCCAAGTCTGTTGTGAACCAGCGAGAATGACCCGCCCTCAGCGTTCCTAGCGACCTTGATCTGGACGAAACCCGAGCGTGCGAGTGAGCCAGAGAGCCATGGCAGTAACAATCGCTCTTCGCGCTGTCGCGAGCGATCGCACGAAACACGGTAGAGAGGGTCGACCCGATACTACTAGTCACCGAAGTAGGGGAGTGCTAATACATAATGCGCTACCTAGTGCGCTGCCTAATGCGTTAATTAATGCGCTGCCTATTGCGCCGCCTATTGCGCCGCCTACTAATGCGCTACTGCTACTGCTACTACTTCTGACAGCCGTCGCGGGGACGTGGACGGTTTCGCCGCGATCGCACATGGGCGTCGCCGTCGTCGTCGCAGCGGGGCGGCCGTCGCAGCAAGGCAGCGCGTTCGAGTGCGACGAGTCGCAGACCGCCATGTACTCGACGTCGTTCGATCCCTGTACTCCCCCTCCCCCTCTCCCTCCCCCTCCCCCCCTCTCTCCTTTCCGCCCTTCCGCGGAACGATCCTCGTGTTATTTTTCATCATACAATTGGGGGCGTTAGTGACTTATTAGCTTCTAACGCTTTAGCCAAAGCTTAGTGATTCGGGTCTTGGGCTTTAACTTCAAAGTATGGCTGCCGGGTTGATATGATATGCAATTATTGGCATTAACAAAGATCCTAAGACTATTGCAAATCTTCTTCTGCGGATGCGCGCCTACTCTCACTCACCTCCTCACGCGCTATCCAGCTCCCTCGTCCCTCCCCCACCCCCTTCTCCCTCCGCTAAAACACGCGCGCCTGCACCTGATTCCCCCATTCACTCCCGCTCCCCCCTTCTCCCCCTCTTCCCCCCTCCCCATGCTCCTTCCTCCGCGTCGTCCCCCCAGCCGCGGCGCCATCCGCGCGGTACTCGCCATCGGGAATTGCCTGAGCTGAGCAAAGCGCGCCTCCACCTGGCTCCCCCTGTTCCCCTTTCCCCCTCTCCTCCGTCAGCCGCGGCGCCATCCGCGCGGTGCCTCGCCGTGGGGAATCTCTGGGAGCAGCTGAGCAAGGCGCCACTGGGGGCGCACGCTCGTGCTGCCGCGTGTGCGCAGCAGCCGCATCGGCGGCAACAACCCGCCACGTGGCATGCTCCCCGCGTGCGCGTATTTTGACACGGTGCTGATGGGGCGGTTCGTGCCGTGGGTGCGCGAGGAGTACCTCTGGCGGACAGTGGCGCCCGCTTGGGAGAAGGGGCACGGGGGAGCGGGGGCGGGGGAAGGGGAGGGGGACGCGGGGAAACGGGCAGGGGGAGGAGAAGGGGGAGGAGGCAGAGGAGGGGTACGAGGGGAAGAGGGAGAAGGGAGAAGAGGTGGAGGAGGCGAGGGGAGGGGGTGGAGGAGCGGCACGGTTCTGCTGGATGACTTGAGAGGGCAGCGATGCAACCTGGTGCGCTGCCAGTGATGGGTGGAAGGACGGTGCAAGGAGGGGTGTGCGCTGGCCGTCGTTGCTTCACAACCCCATGCTCTTCCTTCTCTGGCATGTGTGCTGGCATGTGTGCTGGCATGTGTGCTGGCATGTGTGCTGGCATGTGTGCTGGCATGTGTGCTGGCATTGGTTACGGCTTGCTGTGTGCGCTGCTGCAAGTGGGCAATGGTGATGTGGTGGTGCATGCATGTCCCCGTGTGGTGTGTCTCTGAACGCGGATCATGGCGTGTGTGCGAGCCGAGCCCTCTGCACTGCCCCCTGGTGCACTGCACTTGCCTGTAAACGCAGCTTTCTACAACGGGAACATGTCTCAGGTCCCCGTTGCACGCGGTGATGATGCTCTTGTTGTTGGTTCTGCTGATGTTGATGCTGCTGCTGCTGCTGGCGCTGGTGCTGATGGTCAGTTGAGGCGTGGTGGGGTGGGTGGGGAGCAGCAGCAGCAGCAGCAGCGGCAGCAGAAGAGGTTGGGAGCGGTGCAGATGGATGAGAACATGGAAGATGCATTTCAAGCCAATGCTGCTGCTGCTACCGGCGATGCTGCTGCTGCTGCTACCGGCGATGCTGCTGCTGCTGCTACCGGCGATGCTGCTGCTGCTGCTACCGGCAATGCTGCTGCTGCTGCTACCGGCGATGCTGCTGCTGCTGCTACCGGCGATGCTGCTGCTGCTGCTACCGGCGATGCTGCTGCTGCTGCTACCGGCGATGCTGCTGCTGCTGCTACCGGCGATGCTGCTGCTGCTGCTACCGGCGATGCTGCTGCTGCTGCTACCGGCGATGCTGCTGCTGCTGCTACCGGCGATGCTGCTGCTGCAGCTGCTGGGAGTGCAAGGGGCGAGGAGCAAAAGCTGGCCATGCTCTGTGACGCCTTCCCTTCCTTTGACTGCTCTGTCGTTGCTGCCTTCTTGGAGGTACGGGGAAACACGCACACAGCCTTTGCTGCCTCCTCACTCCGCTCACAACCGCTCCCCTCCAACTCCCCCTCTCTCCCCCCCCTTCTCTCCCCCACCCTTCTCGCCTCTGCGTTTCTCATGCCTCAAAGCACCACCATATGCACCACACGTGCCTTCCGTGCTGCCCTCTATTGTAATAATTTTCCTCTCTCCCGCCCCTTTTACAGCACCCTTCCCCGTGCCCACACCACAATACAACCTCTTTCTCTCCTCCTCTTACCCATCCACCTTGCTCCCACTACCCCCTCCATCCACCCTACACGCCTATATATACATCTTCCACAGTCTCTGGATGGCGACATGGATGGAGCAGCAGACGCACTGCTGGCTCAGGAGACAGCAGCAAAGGCCGCCGCCCCCTCTGCCCTTCCTCCCTCGGCTGCTATTACTGCCGCCCCTTCTCCTGCTGCTGCTGCCGCTGCTCCTGCTGCGGGTGCTGCTGCTGGCGGTGGTGGGTCGGCAGCAGGCAGGCGTGCAGGGCGTCAGTTGAGCGAGGAGAAGGAACAGGTGAGAAGAGAATGGTGAAGAAGTTACGATACGAGGGACGCTGGGTGGGTGCAAGACAAGGGGAGGGGGAGGGGGGGGGGGGGTGGGGAATGGGGTGGGGGTCAAAGGGAGAGGGGATGAGGGAGGAAAGAGTTGGTGACTACTGCCTTGCATGCCCGCTATCATGCACCCCACCCTGCCTGCACTCCCCTTCCATCCACCCCTTCTCCCCTTTTCCACCCCTTGTCCACCTTCCCCCGCTTTCAACCCCTTCCCTTCCACCCGTTTGCCCCTTCCACACCCTTCCCCATTTCCTCACCTTTCCCCTTTTTGGCCCCTTCCGTTCCCTTCCGTTTCCTTTCCCTCTTTTTTTCACCTTTCCCCCTTTCCATCGCTCCTCCATCCCTTCCTGCTACACCCGTGGCATCTGTTCTGTTGCACCTCTTACACCCCGCCTTCTCCTCTCCCCCGGCCTTTCCCCCCGGGGCAGGGAGGGGGAGTGGAGGAGAGGGCGGTGATGGAGCAGCTGTCGCTGCTGTACCCGCGTGTGGCCGTGCCGGCTCCCTCAGGTGTGGCACCTGCACCTCAAACCTGCACCTCAAACCTGCCCCTCAAACCTGCACCTCAAACCTGCCCCTCAAACCTGCACCTCAAACCTGCACCTCAAACCTGCCCCTCAAACCTGCACCTCAAACCTGCACCTCAAACCTGCACCTCAAACCTGCCCCTCAAACCTGCCCCTCAAACCTGCCCCTCAAACCTGCACCTCAAACCTGCACCTCAAACCTGCACCTCAAACCTGCCCCTCAAACCTGCACCTCAAACCTGCACCTCAAACCTGCACCTCAAACCTGCCCCTCAAACCTGCCCCTCAAACCTGCACCTCAAACCTGCACCTCAAACCTGCACCTCAAACCTGCCCCTCAAACCTGCACCTCAAACCTGCACCTCAAACCTGCACCTCAAACCTGCACCTCAAACCTGCCCCTCAAACCTGCCCCTCAAACCTGCACCTCAAACCTGCACCTCAAACCTGCACCTCAAACCTGCACCTCAAACCTGCACCTCAAACCTGCACCTCAAACCTGCACCTCAAACCTGCACCTCAAACCTGCACCTCAAACCTGCACCTCAAACCTGCCCCTCAAACCTGCACCTCAAACCTGCACCTCAAACCTGCCCCTCAAACCTGCACCTCAAACCTGCACCTCAAACCTGCACCTCAAACCTGCACCTCAAACCTGCACCTCAAACCTGCACCTCAAACCTGCCCCTCAAACCTGCACCTCAAACCTGCCCCTCAAACCTGCACCTCAAACCTGCACCTCAAACCTGCACCTCAAACCTGCACCTCAAACCTGCACCTCAAACCTGCACCTCGAACCTGCACCTCAAACCTGCACCTCAAACCTGCACCTCAAACCTGCACCTCAAACCTGCACCTCAAACCTGCACCTCAAACCTGCACCTCAAACCTGCACCTCAAACCTGCACCTCGAACCTGCACCTCGAACCTGCACCTCGAACCTGCACCTCGAACCTGCACCTCAAACCTGCACCTCAAACCTGCACCTCAAACCTGCACCTCAAACCTGCACCTCAAACCTGCCCCTCAAACCTGCCCCTCAAACCTGCCCCTCAAACCTGCCCCTCAAACCTGCACCTCAAACCTGCCCCTCAAACCTGCACCTCAAACCTGCACCTCAAACCTGCACCTCAAACCTGCACCTCAAACCTGCACCTCAAACCTGCACCTCAAACCTGCACCTCAAACCTGCACCTCAAACCTGCACCTCAAACCTGCACCTCAAACCTGCCCCTCAAACCTGCCCCTCAAACCTGCACCTTAAACCTGCACCTCAAACCTGCACCTCAAACCTGCACCTCAAACCTGCCCCTCAAACCTGCCCCTCAAACCTGCACCTCAAACCTGCCCCTCAAACCTGCACCTCAAACCTGCACCTCAAACCTGCACCTCAAACCTGCACCTCAAACCTGCACCTCAAACCTGCACCTCAAACCTCGTGTCAAACCTGCACCTCAAACCTGCCCCTCAAACCTGCCCCTCAAACCTGCACCTCAAACCTGCCCCTCAAACCTGCCCTCAAACCTGCACCTCAAACCTGCACCTCAAACCTGCACCTCAAACCTGCACCTCAAACCTACACCTCAAACCTGCACCTCAAACCTGCACCTCAAACCTGCACCTCAAACCTGCACCTCAAACCTGCACCTCAAACCTGCACCTCAAACCTGCACCTCAAACCTGCCCTCAAACCTGCACCTCAAACCTGCCCCTCAAACCTGCCCCTCAAACCTGCACCTCAAACCTGCACCTCAAACCTGCACCTCAAACCTGCACCTCAAACCTGCCCCTCAAACCTGCACCTCAAACCTGCCCCTCAAACCTGCACCTCAAACCTGCACCTCAAACCTGCCCTCAAACCTGCACCTCAAACCTGCACCTCAAACCTGCCCCTCAAACCTGCACCTCAAACCTGCACCTCAAACCTGCACCTCAAACCTGCCCCTCAAACCTGCACCTCAAACCTGCCCCTCAAACCTGCACCTCAAACCTGCACCTCAAACCTGCACCTCAAACCTGCACCTCAAACCTGCACCTCAAACCTGCACCTCAAACCTGCACCTCAAACCTGCACCTCAAACCTGCCCCTCAAACCTGCCCCTCAAACCTGCACCTCAAACCTGCCCCTCAAACCTGCACCTCAAACCTGCACCTCAAACCTGCACCTCAAACCTGCACCTCAAACCTGCACCTCAAACCTGCACCTCAAACCTGCACCTCAAACCTGCCCTCAAACCTGCACCTCAAACCTGCACCTCAAACCTGCACCTCAAACCTGCACCTCAAACCTGCACCTCAAACCTGCACCTCAAACCTGCACCTCAAACCTGCCCCTCAAACCTGCCCCTCAAACCTGCCCCTCAAACCTGCCCCTCAAACCTGCCCCTCAAACCTGCCCCTCAAACCTGCACCTCAAACCTGCACCTCAAACCTGCACCTCAAACCTGCACCTCAAACCTGCACCTCAAACCTGCACCTCAAACCTGCCCCTCAAACCTGCACCTCAAACCTGCCCCTCAAACCTGCCCCTCAAACCTGCACCTCAAACCTGCCCCTCAAACCTGCACCTCAAACCTGCACCTCAAACCTGCACCTCAAACCTGCACCTCAAACCTGCACCTCAAACCTGCACCTCAAACCTGCCCCTCAAACCTGCACCTCAAACCTGCACCTCAAACCTGCACCTCAAACCTGCACCTCAAACCTGCACCTCAAACCTGCACCTCAAACCTGCACCTCAAACCTGCACCTCAAACCTGCCCCTCAAACCTGCACCTCAAACCTGCACCTCAAACCTGCACCTCAAACCTGCACCTCAAACCTGCCCCTCAAACCTGCACCTCAAACCTGCACCTCAAACCTGCACCTCAAACCTGCCCCTCAAACCTGCCCCTCAAACCAGCACCTCAAACCTGCCCCTCAAACCTGCCCCTCAAACCTGCCCCTCAAACCTGCACCTCAAACCTGCACCTCAAACCTGCACCTCAAACCTGCCCCTCAAACCTGCACCTCAAACCTGCCCTCAAACCTGCACCTCAAACCTGCCCCTCAAACCTGCCCCTCAAACCTGCACCTCAAACCTGCACCTCAAACCTGCACCTCAAACCTGCCCCTCAAACCTGCCCCTCAAACCTGCCCCTCAAACCTGCACCTCAAACCTGCACCTCAAACCTGCACCTCAAACCTGCACCTCAAACCTGCACCTCAAACCTGCACCTCAAACCTGCACCTCAAACCTGCACCTCAAACCTGCACCTCAAACCTGCACCTCAAACCTGCACCTCAAACCTGCCCTCAAACCTGCACCTCAAACCTGCACCTCAAACCTGCCCCTCAAACCTGCACCTCAAACCTGCACCTCAAACCTGCACCTCAAACCTGCACCTCAAACCTGCCCCTCAAACCTGCCCCTCAAACCTGCCCCTCAAACCTGCCCCTCAAACCTGCCCCTCAAACCTGCACCTCAAACCTGCACCTCAAACCTGCACCTCAAACCTGCACCTCAAACCTGCACCTCAAACCTGCACCTCAAACCTGCACCTCAAACCTGCACCTCAAACCTGCCCCTCAAACCTGCCCCTCAAACCTGCACCTCAAACCTGCCCCTCAAACCTGCACCTCAAACCTGCACCTCAAACCTGCACCTCAAACCTGCACCTCAAACCTGCACCTCAAACCTGCACCTCAAACCTGCACCTCAAACCTGCACCTCAAACCTGCACCTCAAACCTGCACCTCAAACCTGCCCCTCAAACCTGCACCTCAAACCTGCACCTCAAACCTGCACCTCAAACCTGCACCTCAAACCTGCACCTCAAACCTGCACCTCAAACCTGCCCCTCAAACCTGCCCCTCAAACCTGCCCCTCAAACCTGCCCCTCAAACCTGCCCCTCAAACCTGCCCCTCAAACCTGCCCCTCAAACCTGCACCTCAAACCTGCACCTCAAACCTGCACCTCAAACCTGCACCTCAAACCTGCACCTCAAACCTGCACCTCAAACCTGCCCCTCAAACCTGCCCCTCAAACCTGCACCTCAAACCTGCCCCTCAAACCTGCACCTCAAACCTGCACCTCAAACCTGCACCTCAAACCTGCACCTCAAACCTGCACCTCAAACCTGCACCTCAAACCTGCACCTCAAACCTGCACCTCAAACCTGCACCTCAAACCTGCACCTCAAACCTGCACCTCAAACCTGCACCTCAAACCTGCCCTCAAACCTGCACCTCAAACCTGCCCCTCAAACCTGCCCCTCAAACCTGCACCTCAAACCTGCACCTCAAACCTGCACCTCAAAGCTGCACCTCAAACCTGCCCTCAAACCTGCCCTCAAACCTGCCCCTCAAACCTGCCCCTCAAACCTGCACCTCAAACCTGCAGCTCAAACCTGCACCTCAAACCTGCACCTCAAACCTGCACCTCAAACCTGCACCTCAAACCTGCACCTCAAACCTGCACCTCAAACCTGCACCTCAAACCTGCACCTCAAACCTGCCCTCAAACCTGCACCTCAAACCTGCACCTCAAACCTGCCCCTCAAACCTGCACCTCAAACCTGCACCTCAAACCTGCACCTCAAACCTGCACCTCAAACCTGCCCCTCAAACCTGCCCCTCAAACCTGCCCCTCAAACCTGCCCCTCAAACCTGCACCTCAAACCTGCACCTCAAACCTGCACCTCAAACCTGCACCTCAAACCTCCACCTCAAACCTGCACCTCAAACCTGCACCTCAAACCTGCACCTCAAACCTGCACCTCAAACCTGCACCTCAAACCTGCACCTCAAACCTGCACCTCAAACCTGCACCTCAAACCTGCACCTCAAACCTGCACCTCAAACCTGCACCTCAAACCTGCACCTCAAACCTGCACCTCAAACCTGCACCTCAAACCTGCCCCTCAAACCTGCCCCTCAAACCTGCACCTCAAACCTGCACCTCAAACCTGCCCCTCAAACCTGCCCCTCAAACCTGCCCCTCAAACCTGCACCTCAAACCTGCACCTCAAACCTGCACCTCAAACCTGCACCTCAAACCTGCCCCTCAAACCAGCCCCTCAAACCTGCCCCTCAAACCTGCCCCTCAAACCTGCACCTCAAACCTGCACCTCAAACCTGCACCTCAAACCTGCCCCTCAAACCTGCCCCTCAAACCTGCACCTCAAACCTGCCCCTCAAACCTGCACCTCAAACCTGCACCTCAAACCTGCCCCTCAAACCTGCCCCTCTAACCTGCACCTCAAACCTGCACCTCAAACCTGCACCTCAAACCTGCACCTCAAACCTGCACCTCAAACCTGCACCTCAAACCTGCACCTCAAACCTGCACCTCAAACCTGCACCTCAAACCTGCACCTCAAACCTGCACCTCAAACCTGCACCTCAAACCTGCACCTCAAACCTGCCCCTCAAACCTGCCCCTCAAACCTGCACCTCAAACCTGCCCCTCAAACCTGCCCCTCAAACCTGCCCCTCAAACCTGCCCCTCAAACCTGCACCTCAAACCTGCACCTCAAACCTGCACCTCAAACCTGCACCTCAAACCTGCACCTCAAACCTGCACCTCAAACCTGCACCTCAAACCTGCACCTCAAACCTGCACCTCAAACCACGCACACAGCCTGTGCCGCCTTCACGACCGCCCCCACCCTCTCCTCCTTCCCCCCCCCAATCCCACGCTTGTCTCAAGCTTCAAAGCACCACCATATGCACCACTTGCCTACATATCACACAATCTCCGTTCCCCCCCTCCGTGCTGCCCTTTATTGAATCATTTTGTCTCCTCTCCCACCCCTCTTACTGCGCCCTTTTCCGTTCCCACAATACTATCTCTCCGTCTCGTTCTCTCACCCGTCTGCCTTGCTCCCACGATCCTCTCTTTCCACCCTACACGCCTATATATACGTCTTCCACAGTCTCAGCATGGCGACATGGATGGAGCAGCAGACGCACTGCTGGCTCAGGAGACAGCAGCAAAGGCCGCCGCCCCCTCTGCCCTTCCTCCTTCCGCTGCTGTTACGACCGCCCCTCCTCCTCCTCCCAGTGGTGGTGCTGCCTCTGCTGAGGTAACAGCAGGCAGGAGTGTACGGCATCAGTTAGGAGAGAAGAAAGATCAGGTGAGAATGGTTGGGATAGGAGGGTTGATGGGTGGGTGCAAGGCGAGGGGATGAAAGGGAGAAAGGGGGGGGCAAAAGGGGGGCCAAAAGGGGGGGATGAAAGGGGTTTGGGGGAGGTACGCTTGTTATTACTTACCCTCAGAGAAGCTGGTCACTACTGCCTTGCCTTGCATTCACCCTATCTCCGATCCCGCCCGCACTTCCCTCCCATCCTGCCAGTGTCCCCCATTCTCCTTTTCGACCCCATTCCCCTCCACCCTTTTTCCCCTTTCCACCCGTTTACCCTCTTCAACTCCTTTACCCTCTTCAGTCCCTCCTTCCTTGTTAATCAATGTCCCCCCTTCGACTCCTTCTCGTCCACCCCTTCTGGTTGCTCCCCTGCGTTCTCCTTTTCCCGGCCTTGCCTCCATGGCAGGGAGGGGGAGTGGAGGAGAGGGCGGTGATGGAGCAGCTGTTGCTGCTGTACCCACGGGTGGACCGTGACTCGCTCCTGCAAGTGCTGCGCGCCTGTGCCGGCTCCCTCAGGTGTGCCGGTTTCCTGTGTCCCTTTTCTCCTGTAGAGTAGCCTTGCAGCGAGTACTCACTTCACTTCTCTTGTCCCGCTCATTCATTTCCCAACCCAATTCTCTATCAGACTCCAGAATCACCTCCCAACGCCCGCTCTTCCCCTCCCCCATTCCCCTCTCCCCCATGTCTTGGCAGCGACACGTGTGCCTTTCTGTTGCACACATGGGCGGTTGCACCCCTTTCCCTCCCCTTTTCCTCTCAGGTGTGGCAGCTCCTTCACGCGTCCTGTAGGGTAGCGTTGGTGTGATTCCTCACTTCACTTCTGTTTTCCCGCTCATGTCGACTCGACGATCACCGCCCAAACGCCCCCTCTTCCCAATCCCCTGTTCCCCTCTCCCCATGTCTCCCCAGTGACACGTGTGCCTTTCTTGACAGCTCAGAGGTGGCAGCAGAAGCAGAAGCAGCCGCCCGAGGTCCAAGCACCCAGCGCAGCAGGCCACAGGCAGCAACACAGAGAGCGGGGCAGAGGAGGCAGGAGGAGGTGCCTCTGTGGAAGTGGAGGGCGCAGCACAGAGCTGCAGAACGCGCTGCTGCTGCTACTGCTGCTGCCGCTGATGCTGGTGCTCGTGCCGGCGGTTATGGTGCTGCTGATGGTGGTGTTGGGGGTGTGGCGGGTGCTGTTCAGGCAGATGCTGGTGCAGGTAGCAGGCCGCGTGTGTTTGAAGGCGCTGCTGCTGCACCAGCTGCACTGCCTGTTCCTGCTGGCGCTGCACTAGGGGGCCGTCCCCCCTCTCCCCCCAAGTCCTCCGAGCGGCATCGCGAGGCGGCGTTTGAGAGGAGGAGGATGATGCAGTATTACTTCCGAGAGGTGGGCGTCTCTTGAAAAGGGGCGTGCTTGTGTTTCTGAGAGTTGTAAAAAATACACACACCTACAATATTTATGCAGTGCTACTTCTAAGAGGTGCACATGCAGGCAACGCCCTCTCCACAACCCTGCTGGCTCAACTCAATATGCCTGAGACTGTACTCCCGCTTCTTTCCCTTGTGATCCTATTTTGTGCTGCTTGCCCTGCTTGGTCCTCCTATCCTGTCCTTCTCTCCCCGTCCATCCCACAACAACCCATGCGTCTATCCTCTCTTTTTCCCCCTCCTCCTCCCCTGTCCGTCACCCCTCGCCCTCGTCCGTCCCTTGGTGGCAGGCTAGTGAGGCGTGGAGGCGAGGGGAGAGGCAGCGAGCAGCAGCCCTTGCAGACAAGGTGGGGTCTGGTCTCTTGCAGCCCATAAGGTGCGGCGAATTGATTTGTAAGACAACTAAGTTGTAGTGCAGGCGTTCTGCATGGTTGATTGATGGAATGGAAGCAGGGCAAGGCCTTTGCTTGCTGCAAAGCAAGCAAGGCGAGCATGCTTTGCACATGTTTTACAGCAACCCGTGTGTACTTCTGCCCCAAAGCTTGACCCTCGTCCTCCATCAGGTTCCCCATCAGGTTCCCCATCAGGTTCCCCATCAGGTTCCCCATCAGGTTCCCCATCAGGTTCCCCATCAGGTTCCCCATCAGGTTCCCCCATCAGGTTCCCCATCAGGTTCCCCATCAGGTTCCCCATCAGGTTCCCCATCAGGTTCCCCATCAGGTTCCCCATCAGGTTCCCCACCAATCAGGTTCCCCATCAGGTTCCCCATCAGGTTCTCCATCAGGTTCCCCATCAGGTTCCCCATCAGGTTCCCCATCAGGTTCCCCACCCATCAGGTTCCCCATCAGGTTCCCCATCAGGTTCCCCATCAGGTTCCCCACCCATCAGGTTCCCCATCAGGTTCCCCATCAGGTTCCCCCATCAGGTTCCCCCATCAGGTTCCCCCATCAGGTTCCCCATCAGGTTCCCCATCAGGTTCCCCATCAGGTTCCCCATCAGGTTCAGGTTCTCCATCATGTTCCCCATCAGGATCCCCATCAGGATCCCCATCAGGTTCCCCACCCATCAGGTTCCCCATCAGGTTCCCCATCAGGTTCCCCATCAGTTCCCCCATCAGGTTCCCCATCAGGTTCCCCATCAGGTTCCCCATCAGGTTCCCCATCAGGTTCCCCATCAGGTTCCCCATCAGGTTCCCCATCAGGTTCCCCCATTACGTTCCCCCATCAGGTTCCCCCATCAGGTTCCCCATCAGGTTCCCCAGCAGGTTCCCCATCAGGTTCCCCATCAGGTTCCCCATCAGGTTCCCCATCAGGTTCGTCACCCATCAGGTTCCCCATCAGGTTCCCCGTCAGTTCCCCATCAGGTTCCCCATCAGTTTCCCCATCAGGTTCCCCATCAGGTTTTCCATCAGGTTCCCCATCAGGTTCCCCATCAGGTTCCCCATCAGGTTCCCCATCAGGTTCCCCCATTACGTTCCCCCATCAGGTTCCCCCATCAGGTTCCCCATCAGGTTCCCCATCAGGTTCCCCATCAGGTTCCCCATCAGGTTCCCCATCAGGTTCCCCATCAGGTTCCCCACCCATCAGGTTCTCCATCAGGTTCCCCATCAGGTTCCCCATCAGGTTCCCCATCAGGTTCCCCATCAGGTTCCCCACCCATCAGGTTCCCCATCAGGTTCCCCATCAGGTTCCCCATCAGGTTCCCCATCAGGTTCCCCATCAGTTTCCCCATCAGGTTCCCCATCAGGTTCCCCATCAGGTCCCCCATCAGATCCCCCATCAGGTCCCCCATCAGGTCCCCCATCAGGTCCCCCATCAGGTCCCCCATCAGGTCCCCCATCAGGTTCCCCATCAGGTTCCCCATCAGGTTCCCCATCAGGTTCCCCATCAGGTTCCCCATCAGGTTCCCCATCAGGTTCCCCATCAGGTTCCCCATCAGGTTCCCCATCAGGTTCCCCACCCATCATGTTCCCCATCAGGTTCCCCATCAGGTTACCCATCAGGTTCCCCATCAGGTTCCCCATCAGGTTCCCCATCAGGTTCCCCATCAGGTTCCCCATCAGGTTCCCCATCAGGTTCCCCATCAGGTTCCCCATCAGGTTCCCCATCAGGTTCCCCATCAGGTTCCCCATCCGGTTCCCCACCCATCAGGTTCCCCATCAGGTTCCCCATCAGGTTCCCCCATCAGGTTCCCCCTCAGGTTCCCCATCAGGTTCCCCATCAGGTTCCCCATCAGGTTCCCCACCCATCAGGTTCCCCATCAGGTTCCCCATCAGGTTCCCCATCAGGTTCCCCACCCATCAGGTTCCCCATCAGGTTCCCCATCAGGTTCCCCCCATCAGGTTCCCCATCAGGTTCCCCATCAGGTTCCCCATCACGTTCCCCATCAGGTTCCCCATCAGGTTCCCCATCAGGTTCCCCATCAGGTGCCCGGAATATTCAAGGCATGAATCGCACGGTTGACCGGTTCGCCAGAACTAGTTTCTGGGATCGCCATCAAGATCCCGATCAGGGCGGCAGAGCAGCAGGTGGAGGTGGAGAGGGCAGCAGGGCGGCAGGCGCAGGAGGCGATGCAGAGCAAGGTGCGCGAGCTGGTGGACGAGGTGCGGGGGCTCACAACAGGACCCACAACTCCCACCTGCGCCACAACCTCGCCATCCTGCACGCCTCCATCACCGTCAACAAGAAAACACTCTTTCTAAAGAAGTAGCCGCAGCAGCAGGCTTATGAGACGGTGTGAAGTGGCACAAGCTTTGCTGTCCTGCACGCCTTGTCCATTATGGTTAGGAACGAAATGATCTTCCCAAGGCAGGAAAAGGCTGGCATGGCAGTTGGCCGGGCCGGACGGTACTGTAGCAAGATGCTGTACTGTAGCTGAGAGCATAGAGTAGGGTTGTTAGTTACGGCTTGTATAGGATGATATGACAAACTGAGTGGTTCCATGCACATCCGGCAATCAGGCATCACGCCAGTGTTGTTACGGTACCGTGATTGAGAAACAACCATCTGTGTGAGGTCCCTCCCTGATTTGGTTCGTTGACTTGTTTGAATGATCTTATTCTAATTGTGGTAACATGCTCTTGCAGCAGATCTTTTAAAAATCACATTTGGGCTGAAATCTAGCTATGGTGACATACATTCCCTCATTATGATGACATACTACCTATCTATCCAATCCAACTACAGAATCAGTCCGAAAGGTACATACTCCCTTTAATAAACAGGATAGATACAAACTCTCGGTGCAATTTTAGTAGCACGGTAGAATGACATGGGGATAGTGAGAGTAAAGGCGAGCAGAGGCGAGGAACGGGAAAGAGGGGCGAGGTGGACGGAGGAAACGTGGCACGGAAGGGCGGAGAGGAAGCGAGAGGGGGAGAGAGGGAGAGAAAAGGAGAGAGGAGTGAAGGGCACTTACTGAAATCGAAGCCCTCATCTCTGTGGGGCCACGGGACAGGGAGGTATAGATAGAGACAAGAAAGAACAAAAATAGGAACTTGTGCGTTTGTGTGGAAACAGGGAGAATGAAGCAAGAGGATTGCAGACAAGGAAAAGACAAGGAGAATGATGCTCAATCTCCCCCACTGTGCCATTCACACTCTCCCCCAGCCTCTCCCCTAGCCCTAGCCCCTCCCCAGGCCTCTCCCAAAGCCTCCCCCCCCTCTCCCCCCGTCCCCCCCCCCCAAGCCTCTCTCCCAGCGTCGCCCCCAGGAACGGGAGGACAGACACGGCAGTGACCCGTGTGACTGGAGAGACTTGGTGATGCTTTCTATGAGCTCCGAGCCATCGCCCATCACCAGCGGGTCAAACGATGCTTGCAGGATCTGAGCAGCCGCACAGCAGGGCAGATTGGGGGGGTTGGGGAGGGGAGCATGGGTGGTGGTAGGTGTTGGCAGGTGAGGAGAATCTGGATGGGGTTGAGCGCGGTGGTGGAACACTAGCTAGAGGGAAACAGCGGATGGGACACGGAAGACAACGAGAGCGAGGTTGTGGGAGACGAAGAGAGGGAGGGTATGAAAGAGAAGGTAGGGGGAAAGAAGGGAAGGAGGAGCCGCGGAGGGAGGGCAGGGAAGCCATACCTTGAGTGCTGCTGCTATGGATTGCCGGGCGCCTGGCAATGGGGGGTGTGGGGGACAGGGAGAGAAATGGTGGTGAAGGGTGGTGAGGCACAGTAAGCTAGTGGCACAATGACGGGAGGCGAGTGAGGCAAGGCGAGTGGGTCAAGGGGAGTGGGGCCATGAGCGTCAGTCTGGTGAGCACATATAATGTAACAGCTCACATTCCCTGCCTCCCTTCCCCACCATCTCAAAAGCTCTCCCAATCCCTGAACCAAACCCACCCCAATTCCCTGACAACCCCTCCCCCCCCACCTTCCAGTGACCCCCACTCCTCCTCCTCCCACCCACTCGCACCCCTGCACGCCCCTTGTCCCTTGTGCGAATCACCTCGGTCGCTCTCATTGTATGGGGCGAGCTCTATGGAGAAGGGAGTGCCATCGGGGATCTCCCCTCTCTTGCCCTCCATGCCCTTCAGCTCCGCCGCCACCTGCACGACAGGGTACAGCACGGTACGGCACGGTATGGCACGGTACGGCACGGTTGAGCATGGCACGGTACGGCATGGCATGGTACGGTACAGCACAGCACGGCATAGCACGGGTCACAGGAGCAGAATTAGGGTTGGCAGCATGGCAGCATGTCCGTGCGGCTGTGGCTGACGTTGGCACAGGAGGTGGAGCAATGCCATTCATCATCGCTGTTGAGCAATGAGCACTGACGCTTGCACCTTCACTCCCTGCACCTCCCTCTGAGTCTTGAAACGCCTCAAAATACGAGCATGGGTGTGGCTGACCTTGGCGCAGGAGGGGGAGCAGTGCCAGTCAGTGCCACTGTCGAGCACTGAGGCGTGCACCTTCACTCCCTGCACCTCCTCCGCACAGCTGACGATGCACGGCGTTTGGGAGTAAGGGGACGGGGGAAGGGGTTGATGGGAACGGGGAATGGATGGATGGGTTGGCATGGCAGTGGTGGGAGGAGAAGGGGATGTGGTTATTGCAGATGGGGAATGATCAGAGGTATGACAGAAATAGTGGCGGAGAAACTGAAGGGAAAGAAAGGAAGGATCAGCAGACAGGGCAGTAAGTAGGGGACATTTGGAGAACATGGGGTTGCTATGGGGACTGTACGGAAAAGGTGGGATGTGAGTGAGGGAGATTTACCTCACATGCCAATCTTCGCAACAGCATGAACAGATGAGGATGCACCTGTGAGGTGGATTCACAAACATGAGCACAGAAACGTGCACACACGCACACGCAAGCACACACAAGGATGCAAAGAGGGAGGAGGGAGGAAAGGGTGAGCACAGGGGACAGAGAGGAATAGCGAATCCTGAGCTGCGTTGCACTGAAAGCAGAGAGGCTACTCACAGAAAACGATTCTCAGCGAGAAATACAGTGACGAGCAAACGAGAGAACCCAGGCAGCTGATTGAAACGTCAACGCGTGTACCTGGGGCCAAAGCTGCGAGTGTAGTCATGCACGCGGCAGTGCACACAATAGCCCTCCTCGTCATGTATCTCCTGTGACAGGTGCACCGGCTGCTACGCACTCGAACCGTCGCCCTGCTGCTGCTTCTTCTGAGTGGGGGAGGTACACGCACAGCCAGTCAGGCCATGAGCAACCCGCGCCGCATACAAGACAGACGGCAGCAAGCGAGCGAAATCCCCAGCGAAACGCTTCAAGTTGATGCTACGGAACGAGATTCTGAGACGCACAGCAGTTACAGCAAAGCAGATGTGATGAGAGCTGGGAGAACAGGAGCTCATCCCATGGGTTGCTTACAGGTGCTGAGGCGTTAGCAGCTAGCCCTCCTGCTCCACTGCACCCAGCCGACTTCCCCTTGGTCCTGCTGTGGATCTCCTGTGCTTCTTCTAACGCTGCCTTGAAATCTTGGAGTTTTTTCTGAGCGCAGGAGAGGGGGAAGAACACAACGACAAGGGTACGAAGGCGTGAGTGACCACGCGTGAGTGCAGCAGGTGTTGCGAGTGCGCAGTTTCGTCTCTTAAAGGCACATGAGATGAGAAGCGCGAGACGCCTGAAACGACTTTTGATTTCAAGTCTCCGCCCGTCCGAGGGGCGTCGGTCACATGAACCGCGTCCGTCCATACGCGCATGGTGTACATCTTAAGCATCGTATCAGTCTCTGCGTCAGATCGCGTCAGGCATGAATCGCACGGTTGATCCGTGCACTCTGACCCTCTCGCCAAAACTAGTTCCTAGGATCGCCATGAAGAAACATCGCACCGCGATTGCTACTTGCCTCCAACGAGCAAAGCGTTCACGGCAATTCGGGAAGCCACGATTCGCAGCATACCTCGCCTCCGAGGAGTCGCACTGGCACGTGGTCGTCGTCTCGTCAACGCCGTCGCTCGGCCGCAGGCAGATCGTCGCGCGACACGATCTGCGACGGCCAGACGGCGCCCATGCCGCGGTACTTCACCCACACGACTTCGCCCACACCCAGCATTGCCGTTCCGCTGCGACACGATGAATCTATGCCTCCATTCCGGTATTAAAAAATCCGTCTCAGTCAGATCTCGATTCGTATCTTGGTTTCGTTGCGCTGATATAACAAGCTGTGATCCTACTCCAAGCCGCCGTAACTCTCGTGGGAGTGACGAAAGTGCATTCTCGAGGGCAATCGAAGCAGGTAGTTCCCTGGATATTGAGTCTGTCCTGCTGGAACGGGAGAGGGCGAGCTACTGAAAGTGCAGCAACCTCTTGCCTGATTCCTGAAGCCATTGAAATAAACTACCGCAGCGGCTCGGTTTCCCTTACCCATCTGACACTGGAATTTGCAACAGAGCTTCTGCATAAGCGCCCTCGCAACACGATTAGAAGCGTTACTGCAAGACGAGAGAAATTTAGTGTTAGTGATTCAGAAACTCACGGCAATGTACCGTTCTCTACCTCGTATTCAACGTCTGAACCGCACTGACTCATCCGCGAACAAATGCAGGGGGGGTGTCACGATCGACTTCCCATCCCAGTGCAATGCAAACCCAGTAAAATCTTTTGAACCATGTTCAACCAGATTGGACCATCCGTCAGGCATCCGACATCCCTCCATGTTCCCGCACTCATCAGATCTGCACAATCGCGAAATGACAAATACGTCGCCTTCCACGCAATGCACGAATTTCTTTCGCGAACCACGTCGCCACTCACCTCTAAGATTGTGGCTGCAACACGGTTTGGCGAAAACTCAGTTTCTGAATGCCACCGAGGAACGGCTGACAGCACAGGTTACTTGTGAGCTCGCCAATTCGCTAAACCATGACCCCAGCCTCTCCTTCTGGCAGATGATTGATTTTACACCTCCTCCATCGCTCCTCTCTACGGCTGCTTGTGTCAGACCCAACCCAGACAGATCTTCAGTTCCCTCCCACAACTCTTTTGCCAGCCGCCTCCTAAGCACTAGAGCGGCTCAATTTAGCAGCACGCTTCGGGAAACGGATCGCGGCGGTTGGATGAGCGGAAGTTCTATAGACCACGTCATTAGATAATCGAATTTTGTGTTGCCACCGTGTTTTGTTTCTGGCCGTTGAAACAGCATACATGTCCCACACTGATGACATAGGATAGGGTAGGCGGTCCAATTAGACGTGGGGTGTATTTGGCGGTCCAATCAGACGTGTGGTTCATTTGGCGGTCCAATCAGAGCTGGGGCCATGCTTTTGTCGGCGATTCGTTATGATCCACCATATTCCAGGGTGGCATGTTTGGGACCACCGTCACAGCCAGCAAGGCAGATTTTGAACCGCTGAATGTAATCACCGAATAGCGCATCACAACGGTCCGCGATCAGACATTCCAAGCATCTTCAGGCTCACCTCATTTTCCGGCGCGTCTTTTCAGAATATAGTCAGTTTCCGCAGCCTTCTACGCATTTTGCCAGTCGAGCTTGGCTTCCGCTGTACCAGTTTAGAACGATCACCATCTTCTCACGTTGACACCATTCAGCCTGGCCTGGATCGTATGTGCGGATCACGGAGCTTCATAACCTCGACCGTGGGATTTTCCTCAACGTAGCGAGTCAACTTCGCATGTCGCCGATTTTGACGTCAGGTACAACAACCATCCGTATTACGTTTTCGTATCAGCTTTCTGCTTCCGTTAATGCACGCGGTCTTCAGTTTGTTTCGACGCCGATTCTGACAATGGTGCTCGTGTTGTACTATGCGCAGGACACCACGGTCGTTATCGGATCGTCGTGGATCTGCATCTTCATAGACCTCGTCGCGACGCGAGCTACGGCTTGGCAGAAGCGACATCGATCTCCCCGACTTGTGACGGTGAAGGTTGAATGTATCACCTTTCACCACCACTCACCACGGAGCCTTCCCCCTGGTAAAGGTTTGGTAAAGGTTTGGTACAGGTTCGGTTAAGGTTCCCAAGGTGTTTGGTTGGTACTGGCTCCGTGGTGGGTCTTTCACGTTTCTTTCACGTTTGCAGTCTTCATTTCCTTTTGCTTTCTTCACTTCCGTTTACTGACTTTATGTTTTTCTTATACGTGCAGGTGCTATTGGATGCTGCTAGGCGCACTTTCGAAGATTTTATAGGAGCAACAGTCTTCGGGGCTCTCCATGCTTCAAGGCGTACAACAGAGGAGCAGCTCCACGAGTGAAGGTTGAACGTATCAACCGCACGCACTCTCCACAATTCACTGAGCCACCCCCCTGGTTGAGGTTAGGTACAGGTACAGGTTTGGTAAAGGCCCCCCTTAAGGTTTTTCGGTTGGTATTTGGCTCTTTTTTTTCACGCTTCTTTTCGTTTTGCATTCTTTATTGCTTGACCTTTATTAATTCTTGTTTGTTGTCATACCTGCAGGTTCTATCTGAGGGTCTGCTGCAATGACTTCAGAGGAGCAACATCGTTTTTGGCGTCCTTCCATGCTTCGTGGCGTACAACAGAGGAGCAGCTCCAGGGCAGGTGAAGGTTGAACGTATCAACCACCCACTCCACACTCCTCGGAGCCACCCCCCTTGGTTCAGGTCAAGGTGATGGTAAAGGTTGAGGTTTGGTAATTGGTAAAGGTTCCCCTAAGGTTTTTTTATTGGTATTGGCTCTGTAGGCAGTGCACACTTGCACCACACTTGCAGCACCGTCCGTTTCTGCATGATCTGTTCACTGCTGTTTACTAACCTGGTTACCTTGATCTCCTTGCAGGTTATATTCGAGGTCCTTGTGCCACGCTCCAATTGTGCTCAGAGGAGCACCACACTGTCAAGCTCCAAGGCGGGGTGAACGTACCTGCCAACAGCACCTGGCAGGTGCCTCCCCTCTGTCCACCAGCAGTAAGTCCCGTTTCACTCTTTTTATCACTTGCTGCATGTTTGGACGTTTTCGTCTGCTGACTTTTCTAACTTAGTTTTCCGTGTCTTTACTTGGCAGGTTGCTTTATCAAGGGTTTCAGCATGGCCAAGATCCATGGGAGCATCATGGCCTGCTGAGGCGCTTCAAGGCTCAACAACCATGGCAAGATAAGTTGTCAATTCCAGCCTCTTCACAGAACCACCCCCCCTGGTACAGGTTGAGGTTTGGTTAAGGTCCCCTTAAGGTTGAGGTTTTTCAGTTGGTACCAGGTTCATTTGCAATGCTTAGTTCATGCTTAGTTTACTGCTGTTTACTAACCTAGTTTCCTTTTATCTCCTTGCAGGTTCTATTCAAGGCCCTCGTGCACATGGGAGGCGCTTCAAGACTCAACCTTGGCGAGATAAGTTGCCTACCCCTTGTCTTTAAGGCTCCTTACTTTGCTGCGCATTCCCCTTCGTCTGCATCCACGCTTGCTGATTCCTTTGCTTTATTCAAGTTGTGGCTTCATGATGATCCCGTTCACTGACTTGGTTCGTTTACCTCCTGGCAGGTTCTCTCCAAGGGCTCTTTTCAATGCATCTCTTCACGACCATGAAGCCTCAAGTCCCTGCGCACTGCTCAACGCCTTCAACTCCCCAACTGCAGATAAGTCTCAGTCCTTTGCGCCTAGTCGGTTTTGCTAAACCTTTTTTATGAATTTGTGTTCGTCATTTTGCTTTGTCGCATGCTGCCTCCTTTCTGTTTTTTAAGAGCCTGGACTAATCTTTTCCTTTCTTACCATGCAGGAGCAAATATGGCTGTTGAAGGTTGAAGGCAGAGCATGAGAGGGGTTGAACCCATGAGCATTGGGCTAAGCACTCGAATCCGGGCCAAACCGGACTGGTTCTGTCCCCCTCCGCCCCCACCAAGTGCCAACACTGTCTGGCCAGCAGTTGTTGTCATTTGGTGGAGGTGGGGGTGGGCGGAGCCAGTCCCTAGTAGGGCTCCCGCATGTCTTGGGCGAAGCAATGCTCATGGCTCAGCCTTCTTCTCTGCCTGTGGCGCTGCCAGTCCATGCCGGGGTGGGCATGGATGGCATGCTGCCACTAGCAAGGATATTAGCAGTACCTTTAGCCAGAATGCATCAGCTTGTTACTGTATGTTTAGGCTGAGTTATAATGGACCATATTTAGTGCACTGTAGGATCTGAGCCTGTTGTTTGTACGCTTCCTCTGGGACAATTACTAAAGAGAATACAGGTATGATGGAAGTATAATGTATACAAAGAAATCCCACACATGAACATGTATCAGGATAATCAGACTTGGTTCACAAAAGGAGTCTAAACAGTTTGCATCACAGTTTATATCGGTGATTTGCATTGACGAACTGCCTTTCCGTTCCCCATTCTCCGTTTCTGAATTCTCAGCCATGGCAGACAAAGCGTCAAACATCTGGGCAGAGAGCGCAGCGGCGGAGAGCAGTGGGCACAAGCGGAAGGCGTCCCTTCCGTCCGCACGAAAGCAGAATGAGTGATTCTTTCCAATCTCTCTCATTCCAAGTCTGTTGTGAACCAGCGAGAATGACCCGCCCTCAGCGTTCCTAGCGACCTTGATCTGGACGAAACCCGAGCGTGCGAGTGAGCCAGAGAGCCATGGCAGTAACAATCGCTCTTCGCGCTGTCGCGAGCGATCGCACGAAACACGGTAGAGAGGGTCGACCCGATACTACTAGTCACCGATGTAGGGGAGTGCTAATACATAATGCGCTACCTAGTGCGCTGCCTAATGCGATACTTAATGCGCTGCCTATTGCGCCGCCTACTAATGCGCTACTGCTACTACTTCTGACAGCCGTCGCGGGGACGTGGACGTTTTCGCCGCGATCGCACACGGGCTTCGCCGGCGTCGCCGTCGTCGTCGCAGCGGGGCGGCCGTCGCAGCAAGGCAGCGCGTTCGAGTGCGACGAGTCGCAGACCGCCATGTACTCGACGTCGTTCGATCCCTGTACTCCCCCTCCGCCCCCCTCTCCTTTCCGCCCTTCCCCGGAACGCTCCTCATGGGGATCCGCGGAACGATCGTCGTGTGGCAAGCAATGGCGATTTGGATTCCTCATGGATTCTTCTGCGGATGCGCGCCTACTCTCACTCACCTCCTCACGCGCTATCCAGCTCCCTCGTCCCTCCCCCACCCCCTTCTCCCTCCGCTAGAACACGCGCGCCTGCACCTGATTCCCCCATTCACTCCCGCTCCCCCCTTCTCCCCCTCTTCCCCCCTCCCCCTGCTCCTTCCTCCGCGTCGTCCCCCCAGCCGCGGCGCCATCCGCGCGGTACCTCGCCATCGGGAATTGCCTGAGCTGAGCAAAGCGCGCCTCCACCTGGCTCCCCCTGTTCCCCTTTCCCCCTCTCCTCCGCCAGCCGCGGCGCCATCCGCGCGGTACCTCGCCGTCGGGAATCTCTGGGAGCAGCTGAGCAAGGCGCGCCTCCACCTGGCGGAAGCCATGGCTCTCGCGCGCCACTGGGGGCGCACGCTCGTGCTGCCACGTGTGCGCAGCAGCCGCATCGGCGGCAACAACCCGCCACGTGGCATGCTCTGCTTCCCGCGTGCGCGTTCTTTGACCCGGTGCTGATGGGGCGGTTCGTGCCGTGGGTGCGCGAGGAGTATCTCTGGCGGACAGTGCTGCCCGCTTGGGAGGGGCAAAGGGGAGAGCGCGCGGAGGAGGGGGAGGGGGACGCGGGGAAACGGGCAGGAGGAGGAGACGGTGGAGGAGGGGAACTCCTCTCTCTACGCCCTCGCCTTCTCGCCTCGCTCACCGCTCTACTGCACCACGAGCTGTGACGACCGCGCGTGGCTGCGCTGGGTGCCTCCGCGAGCAGAGCTGGCCGTGCTCGTGCAGTTCACCCACCCACACCGTGTGCCTGCTACCGCTGGTGGGTGTGCGTGCGTGTGTTGGTAGGTCTGCGAGTGCGAGTGGGTGCTGGAATGAGGGGAGAATGTATTGTGTACCTTGGGTGGTGGGTATGATGTACCCTTCATCTGCTCCTCGCGTTATCCCATGCCAGACTCTTCTTGCCTTTCCTCGTCGCCTTTCCTCGTCGCCTTTCCTCATCATATCGCTCTGCGGCGTACCTGCACCCCACACCACCCCTCTCCACCCCTCCGTCTCTCCAGTCTCTCTGCATCTGCTCTTCTCACGCCTCTCTCTGGTCCGTTCCCTTCCCAAGCTCGTTCATGCTGTGCCAGGAACCCTTTCCCAGATACTTGGTGTGCGGGGGGGTGGTGCTTGATGCTGGCTGGTGACTGTGACTCGGTGGGTGCTGTCCTATTGTCTCGGATGCGTGTGTGTGTGTGTGTGAGGTGTGTGTATGCATGGGGTGCTGGGTGCGGTATGAATGCTCTGCTGCATGCATGGTGTCTCCTTGCTGGGTGCAGCTCTGAGCAGCATAACGGTCATCACTGGTAGAGGCAAGCACAGTGCTTCTGGGCAAGCCAAAATCAAACCTGCGGTAAGGTTGGGGGAAAGGGGGAAGGGGAAGGGACGGAGAGGGCGGTGGAGAGTGGGAGGGGTTCACTGCACCGTCTCATCTCAATTCTGATGTCATATCTCTGATGCGACAGCGTATAATGCACATAGAGCTATGCTGCATGTTCGTATGATTCACATGGTGCTCTCAATCTGAAGCCTTCACCTCACCATCCCACTGCTGCCTTGACCTCACCATCCCACTGCTGCCTTCACCTCACCATCCCACTGCTGCCTTCACCTCACGATCCCACTGCTGCGACTGCTCGTGCGTGTCTCTCAGGTGCACCGGTACTTGCAGGAGAGAGGAGTGGGGTGGCAAGAGCAGAACGCAGGCAGCATTCGCATCACCCGCTATCTACCCCCAGATCCTATCCGACCATGCTCGGCTGTGTGGCAGTTCTTGAGATGTCTCATAACAGGCAGCATCACAACCTGCCTCCCGATCCAATTCCGTGGACGATCACTGGAGTCAGTCCATTTAGATTCCACACCAGCCCATGCTCATTCTGACAGGAAAAAGTCAGAGCCAGTCGGATCAGAAGCATCGGCATTACCGTACCCGCTACAGCTTTGCCTCAAGAACTGTTCCCTAGATGATCACGTCAGCAGGTTCATGCACACTGCATCGTGGTTGATTCTGGATGGAATGTAGATGGCTTGGATGGTTGGAGTCACAGAGGGCATTGCATGGTTGCAGATGTGCTGGCGACAGGAAGACATGTTACCTACATGGGTGCTATCAGCATTAAGTTAGAGTGAACCGGTTAGGATATGCACATCGCACGTTGAAGTTTGTGCAACCACGTGTGAGGGGCTTTTGACGTGCCTGTAGTATTGTAGTTGGTCTTATTACTTGCAAATTCATCGTATTGTAGTTGGTCTTTTTACTTGCAAATTCATCCACCCACACAACTGGTCTGCCCTCTGCTCAAGCTTGTGGTACCGTACCGGTAATCCCTCCTCAGTCAACCTTACTGAGGGAACTGAAATCGCATTGGTGAGACAACCGTATGCAAACAGTTTCATTGTCAGACATGCAGTGTGCAGTGCAGTGCACGTATGGTAGTCGATGAATGATGCACAGTGGAGCACCCACTGCAAAATATACATGACGGCCTAGCTGCAGCACCAGCAGCAGCAGCAACAGCAGGGTACAGCAGCATCAGCCGGCAAAGAGTATCCCAGCAGCGTGCTCCTCGTTGTCCCCTGTGAGTGCAAGAGCCTGCTCCACGAGCTGCCGGGGGAACCCCAGCTCCATCAGCCGCTGCACCTTCACCTCGTGCGCTGACACTGCGGGCGCTGCTGCTGGGGTTGCCTGCACTCAGGCGCGTGTTGATTTGGGTGGAATGGGAAGGGAGGGAGGCCGATTCAGTGCAGAGAGGGTGGGTGGAGGTCGGGTGAGGGTGCGGGGCGTGTGCACAGCGGTGGAAGGACTCTGAGATATGTGTAACATGTGGAGGGGAGGTGCCTAAAGGGAAGGTACTGGAGCAGAGTGGATAGGGGAGAGAGGCCCTGAGTGTGGAGTGCACACAGCTTGAGCTCACCTGACCACCAGATGCTGCTGGTGATGCAGCCCCTGCTGCTGCTGACACAGGAGCAGCGCCTTGGCTTGCTTGCGCCCCTCCCCCACTACTCGCAGCACCACCTGTTGCTGTTGCTGGTTGCGCTGCAGAGGGTGCGGCGGGTGCAGAGGTACCAGCAGCGGAGGCGGAGGGTTGGGAGGGCTGTGCGGGGGTGGTGGAGTCGGGCAGAGGGTCCTGGTCCATGGCTGTGAGGAAGGCCGGGATGTCCTTCTCTGCACGCACGCACCCAGGGGGGTGGGGTGGGGGGGGAGGGAGGGGAGAGAGAGGCATACAGAGAGTCGTGTTTTGGGTCGACTCAAAACACGACTCACTACACGTGGTGGAGTCAGGCAGAGGGTCCTGATCCATTGCCGTGAGGCAGGCCGGGAAGTCGTTCTCTGCACGCACCCGGGGGTGTGGGGTGGGAGGGGAGGGGAGAGAGCGGCATACGGGACGGCAGGGTTGTGGTGACGAAGGGATGGTGTGATGGAGGGTACGGACGGTTGGGAGGGTAATGGAAACCAGAGCTGCGAGGGAAAGGTGAAGAGCGATACATGGGTAGGGGAATTGCATGGCGGAAACATGACAAGGCTCGTTTCCTTACTCTTTTTTTTTTTCAACAAGCATGTCACAACTCACAAGAGGGCTGGAGTACCTGAGAGGAAGGGCACAGCTATTTCACCCCCTCCAACTCGCAAGACATTGTCCTTGAGGTCAATGCAACACTGGCGGTGGGTTAGGGAGAGAGGACCATTGTGGGTGGTATGGGCAGGATTGTGAGAGACAGCAGAGCAAGGCTGAGGAAAGGCACAGGAGAAGCAGGCCTAGCGACAAATAAGAAGCAAGAAGAATTTTCTAGTGTGCACGAAGGGGGAGCACGCGAGGGCGGGTGCACGCGAGGGTGGGAGCATAGGAGGGAGTGGGGGAAAGGTGCAGCAGAGTGCACCTGGTGGCGTCGGAGCATGTCGAGACCAAAGAGGAAGTCCACGTTGTCTGCCTCCAACACTGTGATGCTGCACATGTAGAAGTTGGTTCCGATCTGACACAGACACGACGTCATCAGAGCACAGAAACAACGTCATGCACAGACACAGGATCAGGCACACGCACACGCAAGCATGGGAGAAGGCCATGTGGGGGGAAGAACGCGGGAGAGAGGCGGATGCGCAAATGAGACCGAGGAGTGAAACCTCTGGTGGTAATTTGTACTCCGTGCCAAGCAGTCCTCCCTTCATTCACCAGCTTTCCCCTGCTGCAACCCCCCACTACCCTCCTCCGTTACCCCCTTCCTCCTATAACCCCACCCATCCTTGCATCCCAACCCCCTCCCCTCCTCCCCTCCTCCCTCCTCCCCTCCTCCCTCCTCCCTCCTCCCTCCTCCCTCCTCCCTCCTCTCTCTTCCCCCTGTTCCTCTCAACCGCTCTCCACCCCCCCCCACCTTGAGCTGCACGGTATGGATGCGGCCCACTATCTTGGACGTGCCCACGCCCCGCGCCACCCCCTCGTACCGCCGGTCCAGCAGCCGCATCAGCCTGCACTCACACGTGCATGCACCCGTACATGCATACATGCACACATTGCGTGCACGCACGCACACATGCACACATGCAAACACGCAAACGTGCACCCGCACATGCATCAAGTATGCACACATGGGTGCATGGGCCGGACAACGCATGGGGGCGGGGGAGGGAACCGAAGATGAAAGAAGAGTGCGACGGCGAAAACAGAAAACTGCTGTGCTACGCGGATGACCAGTTGAGATTGTGGATAGCTTGATGGCAAGGAAATGTGCCAGAGGAGAAGGAGAGAGAGATGGGAGCGGGGTGTGATGGTTATGGGGTGGGGCGGATGCAGCAGCGGATGAACATGCAGGGCTATGGGCGTGGGTGAAGGCGTGGTTTCGTGAGTGAGGGCGTACCCGCATCGCTCAGCGCATCGCTGGGACATGATGGTCTGCTGTGCGCCACTGTCCACAAATGCCTGCATGGTCGTGGTGGTTGAGGTGGTTGGTTCATGGAGTCATGGCCCATGGGGTGATGCGGATATCGGAAAATGAGGTGATGGGATTAGGGGGTGATGCAGGCATGTGGTGCACCATGCGTTGGGTCACAATTGACAGAAAGGAGACACATGCGAAATGGCAGAGCGGAAGGGACTGGCACATGCAGGAAACGCGTGACGAGGATGGTGCAGCATGAGGAAGAGGAGAGGGGAGCGGGCGGCCCACTTTGATAAACCATGGGCATGTTCTAGACCCCCATGCCCGCATATGGCACGCTTGTGAGATTACAAAAGTGACCACAATATAATATATCTGATCTATGAGAGTTCGAAGTTTCTCTTTTGAGGCTGGAAGGTACCTTGATGGGCGAGTTGTTGACCTCCATCTCCACATACAGCATGTGCTGGCGGGAGGAACGAATGGGCCGGGAGGGGTGGCACAAGCGGAAAGAATGGGCGGAGGGCGGAGGATGGTGAGAGGAACGGGGTTGCATGCACAGCACCCATGTAGCAGGCAAGAGAAGCATCACGGTGGGAGCAAGGTGGGGAGCATGGTGTGCTCATCCAAGGCTTGGATGAGGAGTGTACCATAGAAACAAACAAAAGCGGTGCAATGTTGAGGCGAATCGAATATAGACAGTAGACTCACCACAACAATGAACTGCTCGGGGTGACTTTTGAGTCGACTCAAAAGTGATCGCATATAGAGAGTAGACTCACGACAGCAATGAACTGCTCGGGGGCGTGCTCATACGCCGCTGCATAGTTCTCGTCTATGTTCTTCTGCTCGCATGACACAGCACCGCACACATGACATGCATGCATCCGCCCCCACACGCACACGAGATGCATGCATACACACATCCACACACATGCGGGATGCGTACAAAGAGAGAGTAATGAGAGTTGTTGGACATGGAGAGGAGTACGGAAGGGGCGGTATCGAGCAGGAGACGTGATGGCGGGGACAGACACGTGGGGGCATAACATGGGAAACTAGAGGACAGTATGAATGAATAGCATGCATGTGTCACAACGTGCACTGAATATTAATATCAGCTGATATAGATGGATGATTAGCATGCATGTGTCACAACGAGCAGTGAATCGGCAAGGCAAAGAGACATGGCATGGCATGACATGGCATGGATGGAGTGGCATGCAGAACGCACCTGCTGAATGCGCTCCTCTATCCTCCGTTGCACCTCAGGGTCAAATGGATCGGCTGATAGCAACTCCTGCATGCATGTAGTCATGCACACATGCACACATGCACCCATGCACACATGCACCCATGCACCCATGCACACATGCACCCATGCACCCATGCACACATGCACCCATGCACCCATGCACACATGCACCCATGCACCCATGCACACATGCACCCATGCACCCATGCACACAGGCACACATGCACACATGCACCCATGCACACATGCACACAGGCACACATGCACACATGCACCCATGCACACATGCACACATGCACACATGCACACATGCACACATGCACCCATGCACACATGCACACATGCACACATGCACACATGCACCCATGCACCCATGCACCCATGCACCCATGCACCCATGCACCCATGCACCCATGCACACATGCACCCATGCACCCATGCACCCATGCACCCATGCACCCATGCACACAGGCACACATGCACACATGCACACATGCACACATGCACACATGCACACATGCACACATGCACACATGCACCCATGCACCCATGCACACATGCACCCATGCACACATGCACCCATGCACCCATGCACCCATGCACCCATGCACCCATGCACCCATGCACCCATGCACCCATGCACCCATGCACCCATGCACCCATGCACCCATGCACCCATGCACCCATGCACACATGCACCCATGCACCCATGCACCCATGCACCCATGCACACATGCACACATGCACACATGCACACATGCACACATGCACACATGCACACATGCACACATGCACACATGCACACATGCACCCATGCACCCATGCACCCATGCACCCATGCACCCATGCACCCATGCACCCATGCACCCATGCACCCATGCACCCATGCACCCATGCACCCATGCACCCATGCACCCATGCACCCATGCACCCATGCACCCATGCACCCATGCACCCATGCACCCATGCACCCATGCACCCATGCACCCATGCACCCATGCACCCATGCACCCATGCACCCATGCACCCATGCACCCATGCACCCATGCACCCATGCACCCATGCACCCATGCACCCATGCACCCATGCACCCATGCACCCATGCACCCATGCACCCATGCACCCATGCACCCATGCACCCATGCACACATGCACCCATGCACCCATGCACCCATGCACCCATGCACCCATGCACCCATGCACCCATGCACCCATGCACCCATGCACCCATGCACCCATGCACCCATGCACCCATGCACCCATGCACCCATGCACCCATGCACCCATGCACCCATGCACCCATGCACCCATGCACCCATGCACCCATGCACCCATGCACCCATGCACCCATGCACCCGTGCACCCATGCACCCGTGCACCCATGCACCCGTGCACCCATGCACCCGTGCACCCGTGCACCCGTGCACCCATGCACCCGTGCACCCGTGCACCCGTGCACCCGTGCACCCGTGCACCCGTGCACCCGTGCACCCGTGCACCCGTGCATCCCGTGCACCCATGCACCCCGTGCACCCGTGCATCCCGTGCACCCGTGCATCCCGTGCACCCGTGCACCCATGCACCCATGCACCCATGCACCCATGCACCCATGCATCCATGCATCCATGCACACATGAGCACACACAGGAATGATGGAGAATAAGAAAACACAATACGCCCGAAGCACGCAAGCAAGCATCAGAAAATGGTGCACGCGGATAAACAAAGTGAGATGCATACAGGCCGTCCCACACACTGGTGTGAGCGTGACCCACACGCACGCACCTGCTCCTCCTGCTCCTTGCGGCGCATCTCATTCTGCATCTTCCGCATCCAGCGCAGCACCTTCTGCATCTCCTCCACCTTGTTGTCCCTTATCGCCTCCCCCAACTCCGGTGTGCTCTGATGGTGTGCGAGCACACACATGCGTGCACACACACACACACGCACGCACACACACACACGCGTGCACACACAGACACGCACGCACACACACACACACACACACACACACACACACACACGCACACACACACAGACACACACACACACACACACACACAAACACACACACGGGCGCACACACACACACACACACACAAACACACACACGGGCGCACACACACAAGCCTCCGATCCACACCCCCCTCCTCATCCCCCATGCACACACATGAGTCCATAAAGGGTGGTGATGCATTGAAGGCAGCGGAGAGGAAGGTGGGAAGAGACAAGGCTAGGGATGAAGGGGGCTGGACGGAGCTTGATACCAAGTGAGAGGCGACGAAAAACAAATGAAGGATGGGAGAAGAGATGGCAGGAACTTCACTGGCACTTTGTGTCACAACTACCATACATGCCACCCCATGCATACCATGCCATACACTTCCCTGCTATCATTCACCATGCCCAGAATACCCATGCCACGCCATGCCACACCACGCCTCACCACGCCCCACCACGCCACAGCACCCAGGGCATACCATGAGCAGGCGGGCCATGAGGTCAGGGTCGCTGAGCACGTGCTGTCGGAACGCCTGTGGGTCCACTGCTGATCCATCCTCCTGCTGCGCCATCGCTGCTGGTGCTGCCGCTGCCGCCGCTGGTGCTTGTGCTTGGGGTTGTGATGCTGCTCCCCGGGATGCGCGCTGCTGTGATGGCTGCTGCCTGATGGCCGGGCGAGGATGGGCGATGCATGTGCAGGGCAGAGTGACGTCATGTAATGTACAGGCAAGGTCAGGCAGCAAGAGAGGCAATGACAGAGCGGTAGGCACGAAAGAAGAGAGGGGGGAGGGGTGCGGGGAACGAGGGGAGCAGGTAAGATAAGATAAAGACATGTTTCAAATGAGACGACAGGCGGGTGCCAGCTGGTATGGCTCATTGGGTCTAACCGTGTGAGGAAGAGCAGGTCGTTGTCCGCTACACCCAGTGCGTTCAGTCGCTGGTGGTTCTGCAGCAGCTGCCCGTTGAACAGCAGCGCTTGCTGCGGCAAGGGAATGCCCGTCTGCGTGCATGTAGCGGTAAACACGCACACGTAGCAGCATGCATGACAGCACACGTGGCAGGACGAAGAGGGGAACACATGCAAGCACGTACATACAGGGGCCGCATGGGAGGCATGACACACGCGGGCACACAAGAAGGTCAAACTGAAAGGCGGCAGGGCGCAGTGAAGCTGGGATACGTAGCATGGGACGCAGAAGCAGCATGGGAATCCGCATGCGAGGCAGCTGTGAGGGACCACGGATCGGCCGCAGGTATGGAGAACGACACGGGGAGGGGGAAGGTAGGTGCGGAGACTGGCGCAATCCGCGGACGCACCTCGACTTCTAGAATCGCCTTCACGTTCTCAACCTGCAGGACGACAGACACAGAGAGGAACGGGAGAGCAGTGAGAGGCAGGGATGGCGGGTCGCGGAGAGCAACAGCTGTCTAGGGGTGGCTTGAAAGCGAGTTTCGACGAGATGAACGAGATTGCAAAGCGCAGCGGGTGTGAGTCGTGAGGAATTGGCGGGCGATCGTGCGGAAGCCATGCCATCAATCTACGGTCGAATTTGAAGGCGGGGATGGTTGTTGGAGCGACAAGTGAAGCGAACGCACCAGCTCGTCGTTGTCGACTTGGATCATGACGATCCGATCGTCTGCTGTCGTCACCGTTAGCTGCATCGCGGCGAAAATCGTCGGAGCAGAGTCAGCGCGGAGCAACAGGGATAGGAAGGAACTACGGTGGATGGGAATCCCAGAATCGCGTGAAAAGAGACGCCAGTCAGTAAGTAAATAGCATCTCCACAGACGACCGCTCCGCAACAGGAGGTTCCAGATTCCTTGTCGACAGAAGCTGGGTCGAGCGTTCCGGCTGAAGTTTCCAACCCGTTATAAGGTAATCACTGCTGTATTCAAAAATCACTGCTGAAGTTTCAAACCTCCCATATTTTTCCAGCATACGGCAGCAAACATCTGTCTGCAGTAGCTTATGCAAAAGAAAACAATAGAATGTCCACTCGTGCACATGCTTTTGAACTAGCAAAATCAATGTTTTAAACCAATTAGAAGACGCCTACAACACAAATAACAACCAAACTAAAACCGCTTCCTGATAATGTCATAAAAAGACCCCCTACTCCAGTCACACTGCAGACAATGGTTCTCCCAAGTTATTCCTTCAACCTAATCCCCCCCCTCAATACTCCTTGCCAAGTAGGCCCTAACACCACAGTACACCTGACAACAATGCAGCGGAAGGTACGCCTTCCAGCAAACAAGCCGTTTGCCCTAGTCCAAACGAAGGGGCGGGTGTAGATGAGCAGGCAGTGCGGTCACTGGTGGTCTTGAGGGTGATGGATGCGATGACAATGGCGGTGAAATTGCTGCTGCGGGTGGTGGGAGGAAGATTGGGTGGTGAAAGGAAGAGGCTGCAGGAGGATTCCTTCAACGTGCAGTTGAATGCATCTGATGCCACCACAAACAATACCACAGGAGCCTGTCATAAAAGAGAAATGAAGACAGATCCTTACCACACGGGGCATGCCGCAAAAGATGAGGGAAAAATAGGGGACACAGGGTAAAAAAATACAAGAAATGAACTGAATGGAAAATAACCAATGTAGTGAATATAAAGGAATCAGAAATAGCGGAATGGACGATTGAAGCTAAGCGGCAGATCTCGCAGACGAGCGCATGCCAGATTTGAATCGATGGCTCCGTAAGGCTCGTGCTATCATTGTCATCGCACTATGGTAACAGAAGCTAAGGAATTAAAAAAAAAAATATGCGTGGAAGTAGGTGTCTGTAGCAGATTGCTGCGGTGCTCCAAGTGCATGCACGCTGGACGGCATGCACGTGCCAAGTGCTGACGCATACAGTCAGGCTTAAGTTTCTCATCCTACTGCAAATGCTGCGGCTAAAGCGTGGGCTCCGATGCGACGGTGGCACGCGAGAGGAGTCCGCAACGTAAGCCAGTAAAGTATTAATAACTAATAAAAGAAACTTAAACAAATGACTCCAAACCACAGCAGCGAAGAAAGCAGACAAAAAATACCAGAGAGAATGGCCAATGGCAGTAGAGTACAATACCGTGAAATCGTCGCCGGAGGACCCGCGGGTCCGTTAGACTTGGAAGACGACGCAGCGGCGCTCCTCGGGGAAGTAGGAGTAGTTCTGCCCCTTGTTGACGTTCGACACCATGTTGTACACGCTGATCTCGATCGCCGTCAGGTTCACTCGCACGTACTTGCCCTGGTACGTAGCCGCGCCGCCCGCCGCAGGCTGGAACGTACGCGACTGGACGCCGTCCTGCACGGCGTAGAACTGGTTATCGGGTCCCAGCGTCGTCGAGTTACCGGAGCTGGTGGACGGAGCGCTCCAGACGTTAACGCCGTCCTGGCAGATGTAGTCCGCGAGCTCGCTGTTCGCCGCAATCACCTCCACAGTCGCGCCGCGAATAGACGCCTCGATGGGCCCGCCGAGGCGCGTGTCGCCGGTGCCGTCGGAGATGTTGAACACGGGGAGCGTGGACGTGCTGCCTTGGAAGTAGAAGTCGCACATCGAGGGCAGCGGCGGGCACGGGCCTGTGGAAGGAGGCGGCGGAGGGGGAGGGGGTGGAGTCGACGGCGAGGCAGCTTGCGTCGGCACGGCTGTAGCGGCAACCGCTTCGCCGGATTGCTGCGAGGGCGTGGACGGGGTCTTGGGAGTGGGTTTCGGGTCGCTGCCTGGGGTCGAGGTAACGGTACCGGGGAAGAGCGGGTTACCCGACGGCGCGAAGTTGCCAGAAGAAGAGCCGCCCGACGAGAAACCGTCGTTCGACGAGGAGGGAGCAGCCGGAGTGGACGAGGTAGCCGGAGTGGAGTCGGCAACAGAGCTGGTGGGATCCTTGGCCCCGCCAGAAGGAGCTGCTTCCGGCTTCGCCGGCTGTTTAGCGATCTCATAAGTGAAAGCCATCTTGGACAGCTGCTTCTTCTCAAGCGTAGGGAACTCGAACAGCTTACGCGCGCGGGCCCACAGGCTGCGACGCGAACGGGATGCATATTGTGCGCTCGCGGCGCCAATGCTTGCTGCGACGAGCAGCAGCACCAAGAACTGCAGAAGCAAAGGCTGCGGCGGACGTGAGGGAGCCATTGCAGGAAGACTAGAGAATTAACACCCCGAGGAACTTTCGGTGAAGAAAGGCGCTAAAACAAGGGTTCCTGTCCAGCCAACAGTGAGAAGGGCTGGGGATTTATGAAGAGAAGAGGGGCTCAAAGTGAATGCCAGAAAAGAGGGAGAGATTAGGATGTGAAATAGAGATGGGTGGAGTTGGTGGAGTGGAGAGAAGATGCTCAGAGCAGGGGTTGGGCGGGGGCTCAGGTGGGTGAGCAAGGGCTGGGTGGATGAGCAAGGGCTGGGTTGGGGGAGCACTCCAAGATCGCAGGGAGGGCGGAACATCACAAAACTGAGGGTGTTTGGAAGGAACTCGGAAGTCAATGAACGCGCCGCCGTAGCCCCCAAGGGGCAAGGCGCGCGACAAGAGGCGCTAATCCACCAGTCTGGTTCTCGCAGGCGGGGCCGCAGGAACCGGCGCTTGGGTTAACTAGCGCAAGTGTTGCGCCGGTGTGTGATATCCACACCACAAGAGGGCGGAGCGCGAGAGCGAACCGCGATGGCGGCGTCGCGCGCCGTCCAAAGGAAGCGAGGTTCCGAGTCCGAGCCTGTAGCACAAGCGCGAACCTACCAGCTAACCATCCGGTGAACGCCACGTCAAAGATTCCAGACCAACATGGGCGCAAAACTCAACACATTATTGGTGGAGCGGAGCCACGTAATCGAGAACGAGCACCCAAGCCGTGGTGGAGGCTCCTGACCCGCCACAAAAGTCTTCTCTACAAGCTATCAGAAGTTGAACCTTGCCGTACAATCTAAGGACATATCCAGCCTCACTCCCCAATGATATCCATTAAATAATACTCACATTCATGTTAACTATTCGATAATGATTAGATAAAAACAAAAACCCATGTTATTTTGATAAATACTCATTCTAAGGTGATGCCTAACAAAAGTACAGGTTCTGGAATTAAGGTCATCAGGACCCATTGACACAATAAGTAAGTTCAGCTGAATGAGCCAGATTGTAACATCAATGTACCTGCATGGATACATTTCGCCAGAATTGTCCCTGACAGCAACAAATAACCGCCAAGCGTCTGCCAAACCGTCCTGCTGACGCTTGGCAACGACAGACTGGCTTTTGTCTCGCTTCGTGATTCTTCCCGCCCCCCATCGTCGTACGCCCCCATCCATCACACGGGGTTTTGCTGTTTGCTGAGACGAATTTCAGTCCCTACTATCATGGTGGCGGCTGATGCCGAAGCTTTCGCTCGGACTTTGGCGTCAACTCCAAGATTTGTCGATTGTATCCCTGACGTTAACCTAATCCTGTTTTCTCGAGTTCGTTAAGCACTGCGGTTTCTATATTGTTGAAGTGTCGCATACTAAGCTGAGGTGGTATCAATATTCGCGTGCTTCTTGTGAATTCAGTCGTCGTTCACCACATCACCAGAATTCTTACAACAAGGACCTCATTACCGTTTCCCAGGTATCCGTATTCCTAGCTGTGAATAATTGGTCGTCGAAAGCCATGGCTCTAGTGCCATTCAGCGATAGATCTAACGCCTCTCCTCCTGAGAGCTCCTCAATCACAGACAGTCGGAACGGAGGGCTTGTGGTGTGGGAAGCCTCCCCCGACGACACGGACGACCTCGCGTTCGTGCAGGCTCTCGAACTCGCTGAGGCTTCGGCCAAACGACGCCGAACAGGAGAATCTGGCGGTCACAATCAGTGGACCGGCCGACAGACGGCTGTTGCGAGTGCAGGGAACACGCTTGGCGGTGGTGAGGATCGAGGCGGTGGCTGGAGCGGCGGCGGAGCGAGTGGTATGAGGAATGCTGGTGTGAACGGTGTAAGTAGGAGCAGTGTGGTCATCACGGAAGTGACTCGGAATGATTATGCTGGCGCAGCTCCGCGCCAACAAGGCCAGCAACAGAACCGGCAGGGACGACAGCAGCAGCAACAACAACAGCAGCAGCAGCAGCAGCAGCAGCAGCATCAACGGTGGCAAAGGCAGCCAGATGGGTTGAGAGCAGGAGCCACTTTGAGGCAGTGTGAGAGAGTACAGTCAGTTGCTGGAGCTACAGATGTGGCAAGTGCTAATGGTGCAGTGCATGCTCCCGCGTTCTCGAACCAGCCTGCAACGCCAGATAGGTTGGGCAACCATCCTTCTTGGAGCAACCAACAGCAGCAGCACCAGCAGCAGCAGCAGCAGCAGCAGCAACAGCAACTGTACCAGGAGCAGCAGCAACGGCAGCAACAACAGCTAGTGGTAGTACCCTCGAGTGGTTATGGTGCTCCGGTACCTGCTGCCGCTTCTCCACTCCCCAGCCTCTCAGTGCAGCCACCTGTACCAGCGCAGCCTGCTCAACCTGTTGTCATGCGGCCAGCAGACTTTCGAAACATGCAGTCTGCTGCACTGGATGTGGGTACTTGAAGATTCCAACTTTATTTTTGCCGAGTACCTCTCTTGTCTAATCTCTTGTCTGTCTGTGTGCTATGTGAACATGACAGGTTCTTGAGCCTGGTGATTACATGGTCCTGCAAGGGAAACCGTATATCAAGAAGTCGGGTACGTACGTTCCATTCTCCGTTCCTGCCCAGTTGGTTTCTTGAGACCATTTTGCCATGATTCGTGTACATTTGTCTTTTCCCGTTGCTCATTCAGGCTGGCGCAAAATCGCATTCTTTTTCAACGTGTCATTTGAAATCCGAGACAAGACCATCGAGAGGGACGAGCGTGGTAACGTTACAAGATCGGAGTTTCTTGTTCGAGCCAGCATGCCGTAAGATCGAAAGCCTACACTTACCATCTCGTGAGCTTCTCAAGTTGTTCTGCCAGGTATAATGCAAACATTTCTTGTTCCTAAATGCAGTTCCGGCAGGTTCTCTGATGCGTGGGGCTCATGTGACCGAGGAGAGAAGAGGTTCAGTAAACCGAACCATGATATTCCAGGCACTGCTGAGACTCGAGCTAAGAGCCGGGCATGCCAGGTGAGAGCTCTCAGACTCCCCCCAGCACAATGAGCTTACTGACAGCTGATTGATCCAAGGCTTAATGGGTTTTTGGATATCGTTTTAAAGCCCGAGTCTAAAATGGCAACTTTTCAAGTTCAAGATTCTTGAACTTGAGTTTGCTTCCCCTCCCGTCGCCTTTTAGGTGGCCCTCCCTTCCCGCGCCCGTCGCCACGCATACTCTGAGTGTCGCTCATGCTCTCCCATCATGTCCCTGGCCTTCACGCGACCTTCGCTTGCCCATTCCACCTTTCAAGTTCAATATTTTTGAAGGCTTACCATTCTAGACTCGGGCTTTAATGCGCAGGACCTTTTGGGGATTGGGGAGTACAAGCAGCATCGCTCGTGATTTCTGGCATCCGTTCTGTTTGTCGCATTATGTGTTTCAGCTTGCTTAGGGTGTTTCTGCTGCAAATGTATCTGTAAATCCTGAAGTAGTTTACTGGTGTATCGTTTATTACATGAATTGTTGTCTTTAGATATCTCTCGAGATGTGCCACAGTGGAGAGCTACCCTCGAATCTTGGACCTCCTTTGGTACTGCCGTCAGCCAAGCATGATTTCCCGCGCACTGCCAGCCCAGAGCGACAACACAAGTGGAAACGGAACGCCCTGTCAGAAAAGTGCGGAAGAACCCAAGGGCTTCCGTCAGCAGTAGCGCCTTGAGAAGATCTGTTCCTGGAATGCGCACACCGCTAGCGCTACAGGTCTCCGCGCGACTGCGTGCTTCCGCTGGCTCCGTTTTCTTCCCCCTTTTCCCCAGCTTCCGTCCGCGCCAGCTGAGATCCACTCTCCACATTTGCTGGATGCCTTGGTTTCTCCCGGAGTGAAGGAATTCAGTGCAGGAAATCAGGATTTCAGTGAATTCTTCAGAAAAGCTTACCTTGGCGAAGCCTCCTATTTTGCTCTTTGTTAGGATCCCATAAAATTCCTCGTCAGCGTGTCTGCTGTACCCTTCGGTACCTCCGCCAGTATGAGCAAATTCGACACCAACCCATTCGATGAGGGAGGCGAGAGCAGCAGCAACGCTGTCGCTGTGAGTGATCGAGACAAGAGATGGTTATTGTATTATGCTGAACAAATCTTGTTTTCCCAGCAGCTTGCGTTTCCGTTGCGTTCTTCGAGATTCGGTTTTGATCGTCTGCGAATGTCTGGAGGCTTGAACAGTCATGGGAGCATCACGTTGAAATCTTCGTCTTATTGCTGTCCTCTCGTCCGCTCCTCTCACCCTCCTGTGTCTATATTCAGGCTCCTGTTCCGAAGTCGGGACTCGGTTCTTTTTTCGACAAAGTAAGCTTGTGTTTTACGACGCTCAGCTTAGTTTAGCATGTTGTTTCATGCATGCTCGAATTTGCATGTGATACACTGCCGCTCTCAAGTGTGATCCACTGCCTTCTTACCTGTGATCACTCTTCTTTCCGACTGACCATTGTGATAGTCAACCCCCATGAGTGTCCGATCGCCGTCTTGTAATGCATAATGACGAACTTCAATCTGTTCCTTGCAGGCTGGAGCGGCTGTGTCATCCATGGCGGCGTCGTTTGACAGCGTCGCGTTGACGCCTAAGGTTCGTCCTCTCCCCGCTTCTCTCCTCCGCTCTATCCCTTCTTGGCAACCCGTTCTTCTGAATTTGGATTCGTTACGACATCGTTTCCTTTTCTCATTTCCATGCGTTTCTCCTCACCGGCATGTGCCTCTGATCGCCACAGGACATCGTGGAGAAGGAGACGCAGCTGGCTGCGAGAGAACAGGAGCTCAAGCGAAGAGAGGAGGTCAGTTGGTTACGCATTTGTCCTTGTCAGGTCTTCGTTGCGTGTTGTATTTGCGAAAGGATGAGGCGTGTTTTATACAGCACACCGATAGTATTTGTTGTCAGCTTCGGTTTTCGTGTCCCGTTTCCGACTGATTCTTCTTCCTTTTTCTGTGTTTTCTCCACCTCCGTTTTCTTCGTCTCGCGCACTGCTTCGCGTTTGTTGTGCGCGTGTCGGGAACGGGCGTGGCCACGTGTCTGGATATCACACGCCAGGAGCTCGCCCAACGCGAAACATGTAAACTTACCGTTTTGCTATCAACCTGCACAACCTCACAACTTCGCTCTGTCCATATCGTTCACGTTGTTCTGTCTCTCTGCATCTCCGCCGTAGTTCCCTGCTTATCAACGCCGCAGAGATCGCCGTAGTTCAACGCCGCACCATGCCCCCGACTCCCCTCCCGTGCGCTGGCTTTTGCTGCTTGCCTAATTCTCCACGTCCCTCTCTCCATCTCTCTCGCGCGTGCCGCTCTCCTCTCGCCCGTACCGCTCTCCTCTCCCTCGTACCAGCGCTGGGGATCCAGCACAACAACTTCCCGCCGTTCTTCCCCCTCATCCAGCACGACATTTCTGCAGACATCCCCGCCCACGTGCAATACCTGCAATACCCCGCCTTCGCCTCCTGGCTCGGTGCGTCGCCTCACCTTGGACTGCTCGCTTGCAACTTGGCTCCTCTCGTCTCTCTCTTTCTGACGTGCTTCTTTCCGCTTCTCTGATCTATTACGTTTCCCCCACTCTCTCATCTCGTCCCAGCGCGCTCTCAACTTTCCATCCTCTCGTTCACTCCTCGGCGCCGCCCTCGGCTCATCGCCCTTCCCCTTTCCACCCTCCTCCCCCCCCCCCCCACACACACCACGCGTGCAGGCATCATCCTATGCCTCGTGTTCAACCTCGTCGCAGTGATCGTGTCTTGGGTCACCGGCGCTGTCAGCTCCACCTCGGGTCTGTACCGCCTCGCTCGTACCCATCACTGCCACCGCTTCCCGGCTTCCCATTGTTGAAACCGCAATGTCTCGTTCGGACATGCTCGTGGAAGGATGGTCTGCAGGCAGTCAGGCTGATTGTTCACTACACAAACCATGTCACCTTTCCCTTTACTTATACCCATGTCCACCCCTTTCACCCACCCCCCTCTCGCCTCTTCCTTCTCCCACTCTCCCTCCCACTCCCCCCCCCCTTCCTTCCTTCCCTCTCCCCACGTCGTCTCACCATGGCGTGCGCTTGCTGGCACCAGGCATGGGTAACTTCTTCCTGGCAATCATTTACGGCGTGCTTGGCATCCCCCTCTCCTACGTCCTGTGGTACCGCCGCCTCTACAACTCACTCAAGTACGTCGCCTGCTTGCTGGCAGCCAATGAGAGCCTCGTATGTGCTGCTCCCAAGCCTGCTGCTCCCAAGCCTGCTGCTCCCAAGCCTGCTGCTCCCAAGCCTGCTGCTCCCAAGCCTGCTGCTCCCAAGCCTGCTGCTCCCAAGCCTGCTGCTCCCAAGCCTGCTGCTCATGAAAGCATCCCGTTTCTGTTCTCAGCATCCGCCTCGACCCTCCTATTTCGCTCTTTCATTGTACTGGGCCTTTGCCTGCTCGTCACCTCAACTAGGCTCTTCTGTTACTCGAATTCACCCCTTCTGTTTGTTCCTCGCATCCTGTTCAAATCCATCCCTCTTGGTGATGGATCACAGGAAGGACAGTGCGCTTGGCTTTGGAATCTTCTTCATCGGTTTCCTGGTGAGTGGAACACTCTGTGGGCCTCGCATCTCATTCCGCCTGTAGCTGTGCACGACATCCCATCCGACCAGGGTACCAGTGTAAGGAATCGCTTTGGAAAACGTGGTTTCATTGTCAATCCCCGTCGCCTGGTCTACCTTTTTCTCGGAGTTGCAATTCCCCAGACCGCCCGTCAGCTCGAAAGCCCTTCTGTGCTGATGAGATGGTCGTGTCAACTCCCATGTTCCCCTCGCCTCTCATGTCCTCCTTTGTTCCCCACCCTCTTTTGTCCCCCACCCTCCTTTGTCCCCCACCCTCCTTTGTCCCCCACCCTCCGTTGTCCCCCACCCTCCTGTGTCAGATCCATTGTGGCTTCTGCATCTTCGCCTCGGTCGCTCCGCCCATCTTCTTCAGTGGCATGGCCCTCACGTGAGCTTCATGGACCCCCATCAATTGCCACCCACCTTCCTTGCCCACTGCTTTACACGTTTATGCAATTTGCATGTGACAGTTGATTCTGCTCTTCACAATAACAGATGCGTTTGTGCTCTGTTTGCCCGTGCCCTTCCACCAGTGGGGTGCTCTCCACCATCTCTCTCTTCGGTGACTCCGTTACAGCTGGGGTAAGCACCCTCCTTACTCGTCACAGCTGCTTTGTTCCTTGTGATCTGCTCGTACTAATCCCATGCTATTGCCCACCTTGACCGTGTCCGGACGTGCATGTGCTGTCTCCACTGTTTGCCCATCAGATCTTCTTTGCTGTTGGTACAGCTCTCTTCATTGGGGAGTCCTGCCTGTCCATATACACCCTGGGGGTATGTTCCACCCCACCTTCACGCATGTACTCCTTTCCACCACGTTTTTAATGCTGTTTCACAATCTGCTCGTCCTGTCATCCCGTGCATCTCTGCCCAGTCCTTGCTGCATTCTCTGCTTGCCTATTCTCTGGTGCTTTATGCTCTGCGCCTGTGCACCTCTAATTGATGATGCTTCTCT